CTTCTAAGATATTACATATAAAATGGGCCAAAATTCTTTTTTAGAACTTTTGTATATAGGAAGGCCATCAAAGTTGATGTTTAAATTTATAATATCTGGTACATTCACCCACTTTTCCAAACATATTTGAAGAGAATCTGTAAGTCCATTATGCCAATATTCACCATCAAGTTGGATTTCTACTATACTAATACTTCTGGGAGTACGTAGAAGCGTTCTAGGATCATTTGGTAAAGTATTGGGAAATCTACTATTTATTATTTTTGACAAATCTTTTAACGCTGCTTGAGCAATATTTTTTTCTATGGCCCATTTTCTTATTTGTTCACGAAATAGAATATCGTTCGAAAACTTGCTTTCTTCAGCGTCTTCATCAGTGTCACTGTCTGAACTTCTATAAAAGGATGGAGTATGAATTTCATTATTTTCTGTAATGTTTGAATATCTAGAACCCTCGTTGAAAACTAAAACTCGCTCTTGTCTCTGGCTGAAATACGGTAGATCACTACAATTTTCAGGAGGATTGTCATTTGGTATGCTAACAATATTTTTTAAGAATACGGAACCATTACCGCTATTCGTTGAATCACTCTCTTCACTGAATTCTTGACATGGCATGGATACTGACGTTGATGGGCCAAGCTGATCAAAATTTTGGTTATTTTCGCAAGTTTTATACTTGGAATCATGGACGTATAAAAAAAGGCGGACAGAGTTTCGGCTAAGACAATACTGAGGCACCGTAATGGCGGCGGCTATTGATGAGTGAGTGAATTGTAGGGTTGCTAGGTTAGCCAATTTTTTACCAATAAAAAACGGTAAAAACATGAAAATATTTTGATTGTTCAAAATTTTACTTTTTGCCCGACTGCGGAGGATAATGTTTTTCGAGCGTATGTATGCATGTATGTATGTATGTCCAATAATTTGGCACGCCCTACAGCCTGAACGTCTTGACGGATTTTGACCTGCGAGGTGTCATTTGATTTGTCGTGATTGTGTGAGTGGCATTCGGTATATTAAAATTTCAAAAAATCAAAATAACAGATTTTATGCACCAAAATGAAACATTTTGAAAAAAAAGTATAAGTATTTTTATAACTCGTCAAGCGAGGTATCAAAGTGAAGGATTTTAAAAGAATATTTAGAAAATATGTAACTCGTGTAATTAAAAAATAATGAAATTAAAATGTCGAAAATAAAAAAAAATGTACTAAAAAGAAAAAAACAAGTCCAGTAGTCTAGAATTCTGTTTAATAAGGAATAAAGTTACTTTAACAGTCGGGACTCATTAGAAATTCTAGAATGTATCGAATTTTCTCAATATTGGGTAAATCAACTAAATATAGATGGCCTAGTCTGCATTCTCTTTCATATTTCTTAAAATAAACTAACACCCATTGAGTACTGTTTGTAATTGAGGAGTTCCATTGTTTTCCTCCGAAAGTACTCATCAGATCTCCAGTAAATTAATATGCAGCCATCTCGTTAGTAAACTGATTAAAACAAAAAAAGAATCATCATAAACGGTTCACGAATCTCGGAGATCTGCGCGAACAACAATAAAAAAAAACAAACATGACGGACAGCGAATCTCTTTCTTTTTGAAGTCGGTTAAAAAATTTAATCAACCTTTTGAGGTAATGCATACGTAATAACACGCCGGAGTCCTCCTTTAGTTGTATATAAGTCTTGAGCTTCAAAATGAAGACCAAAAATGACACTACTACATATTTGTTTGGAAATAATTCATTTTCCAGTAATTTCTCCATACTACATTTTCTTTAGGAAATCTGATAAAAAAGAATAATAAATAATAGATTGAAGTTAATGTCAACCCAATTTCCCATATTTTAGGTAATATGGTTACATGATCATTGGCAACACTGGGCTTTAGACTAATCATTTTGTCCTTAGAATTAAAATTGATTTCGATTTCTAAAAACTAGAAAAAAGTGATTCAATTATTCATTTACGTATGAAACGTGATTCCTGGATTTTTTTTCTTTCGGTCACTACGGTTTTTACACCTTTTTACAAGCAAGATATCTTGTTTAGCTTATTTTTTATCTCCACGAAACGTGTCGGCTGCTTTGACGTCTGCACGCGTAGTGGCTGACTATTGTGTGAATGTGTGCGTGCCGGCTTGTACGTACAGCGACCTGGCCGACTCTGAGCGACACAGTTTATTGTTTACCGGGACTCTGTCCGCCTTTTTTTATAAGTCCATGCTTGGAATATTGTTTTGAGAGTTTTCTCTTAATCCCACCACTTCGTTTTCTCTTTTTCCAAGGTTTTATGTCCATTTTACTAACACCAATCGATGCACTACTGTTCCTTTAGTGAAATGACCTAATCTGCTACAGGAGTAAAATTAAGCCGTTAGAATTATAAAACTCTTGAGTAATTCTAATAAACCGCCTCAAGCTGCATTAAAGCTTTTAGTAGAACTTTAAAGCTTTTGGCTTTAAAGAAGAACTCGTTAGAAGTTTAGTAGATATAAAAACATTTTTTTATTCTCCTTTGCAAACATAAGCGTGTTAAGAGTTCCCAAAACGACCATTGTCAAGCTTACTTGAATAGCATTTAAAGAGAATAAACCTACTCTTTTAAACAACCTTTTGGTGCAAACTGTTGTACAGCCAACGTCTGCACAAGAGCTTATAAGTTACCTAATTAACCAAACATATACAAGCTTAAGGTTTTTTTACAAGTTAAGAGAATAAGTTGCAACCAGCGGCTGGACAGTAACTTTTTAATTAACTGTTATAATGCTAAGAGTATATTGTTGCTCTTTATTGCAGCTCTTAATCAGCAAGACTGTACAAAACTAGAAAAAATCACTCTTGCACAGTCTTCAGCTTCACCCAGAACCTTTATATATCTCTAGTGGAGTGTTATTCTGGTTAAAAGCTTACTTATTTCTGAAAATTCAGCCTGTGTGCTACTTGGGACATAATCCAGTTCTTTTGGTAACCTTTATTTTTCCATCAAATCCCAGCACTACAACGGTGGTATGGTTCAGTCTCACCCTACCCCCAGGGGTATGGCTAGGGGTATGGTGGGTCTGGCATATTTAAAGCGCAATCAATAAAAAACATTAGCAGATACATAAATAAAGGATCCGACCAGGCCACTTTTGCTTTAGAAAATTAAAAAGGTGAAGTATAGATTTACTAAAGGACTGGGAGTGGGAGTGTGCATAAGTAGTTCAGAGGCGGTATGGCCAATTCTTGGATTTCCGATTCATGTCCGCTTCCCCACCATGTTTTATCTTGCGGTTCATCTGGAAAATGGCCAAAGAGTATATGTTAATCAGCAAAACCTCGCAGATAAACTTACAATCCCACCAAAAACTACACTTCTTGCCTTCTTTGAGTTGTGTCGTACTGATGATTTGCAATAATCATTTTATATTTCCAAGTACCAGCATATTATGTTTGGACTAATTTATGATTCGGAAGGAGGAAACGTGGAGTAAACGTAGATTGATGACCTGACATTAAAATGAACCTGCTCTGGGTAGAGTGTATACAATACAACCCTAACAATACGGAGTGTTTTCATCCTCGAATGCTACTCCATGAAATTCGAGACCGCACGTCATTCGAAGCGTTATTGTAAACCCTAGACCCTACTTATGAGTCTTCTTGCAAGGCTTTAGGCTTGCTTGAAAATGATGACAACCGGCATGCGGTATTTACCCAGATGAATAGTCTGAAACTTTTTAGTTGTTAATTTTTTTGTTGATTATGTATTAAAAAAATGTAAAAAATTATAAAAAAAATATTTATAACGTGACTTCCAGGAATATATCCGTCCTATATATAGGACAGTAAGATAATGGTGTCGATTCCGGTATGATTCTCTAAACCTAAACTTAAATTTGACAACAGTGTGTCCTTGTCATTCTCTATACAGAGTAAAAAGGACAGACTGATGTTAAATTTAGATTTAAGTTTAGAGAATCCTGTCAGAATCGAAACCAATAAGTAGGTAATAGCGAAAATTTTGAAGATTGAATTATGCATTTACTTATATCAATTATAATATGCATTAAATTCAGTGTTATTATTATTTACTAATATACTGTAATAATTTTACTTGAATGATGAATTTTAAAATAAATAGCATACTCCCTGATCACAATTTTTGAAGTGATGACTACATGACCCTGATGACGATGGGCTTGATTTGACCGTGGAACACCTAATATGATTTTAGATTTGTTCAACTTCCCATTTGCTCTTGTTGGGTGTGTGGTGTGGGTTGGTCTTCTCTATCAGTCAAAAAATGCAAATATCACAAAAAGACTGGACAATGTTTGCACCACGATATAATGGTCCTTATACTCATCTACACCTCAGATGACAGTTGTCTTCTTTCGTTGCGACAACTTGTTACGGCTCAATCTAACGGAACATCTAAGATCCAGGCTTCGAATCCATAACAATAACATACCCTAACATTTCCCAAGGAGTTTACTCAACGTGGTCGTTTACGATCACATCACACAACGAGCAACGGAGAGAATGCATTTCCCTACACAATACGAATCAGAAATGAAGAAATCCGTAAAAGAACTAAAATAATGAATGGGCGGGTACGTAGCGAGGAGAACCGATGGCCGTTGGGGCGAAAAGGTTCTCGAATGGCGAACACGCACCGATGCTCAGTGGGCAGCTCCACCAGGTGGACCAATAATCTAGTAAAGGTCGTGGGAAGCTAATGGATGCGAGTGGCGAAAGACCTGTGTGGAGCTCGTTGGGGAAAGCCTATGCTCAGCCATAGATAAATGATTGGTCTCGCTTCACTCGAAGCGAGGCCTTCTTTTCTTGAAAAACGATAGACAAGAGAGAGAGAGGTCGGCCACAGATTGTAAACGCCTCTTCCATAGACTACCGACTATAGACAATACATCACACATTTAATTAATATGAACGCAGCAACTAACTTTTTTGCGAATGACAACACTTATACTACATATGTCAAGAATGTCAAAAAAATCATAGACCATGGCTGTGTATTTTTAACAAACTCAACATTGATCAAACTCGTGTTTAGTGCGCAAGGATTTGTTATTAAATACACATACAACAACATTAAATACCCTTTACATTTTAGGAAACTTCATATTTCATATAATTGTTGAAATAGTATGAAGTAATCATAACATAATGAGACGAGGTCATGCAGGCATTGGTGGTTGGCGAAATGAAAATCCAAGAAATTTTAAGCCAAGAGGCGGTGCAGTGCCTCCATTTAGACCGAGTAGAGGCTACCCTATACAGGAATCATCAAGGTATTCGGTTTTTTACTATTTATTGTATAAATTCTGAACAGATAACATTGCATCATTTTGCGCGCCTAATACTTCTCATAACATTGATATATGTTTGGATCCCATGTCCTAGACATGTTGATACTGAACAGATATTGAAAACATAAATTTTACTGAAATTCAATCTCGTATTTTACGATTACATTAGGTAAAACCAGCAAAAACATACCAAAAAACTTCAATTACAACCTGCCCTGAAAATAACGAACAACAATAAACAATCAACCCAATCGGTTATACTGTTCATAAATTATGTTCTGTTCCCATTCATGTGGAATTGGATTTGTTTATAACTTGTTGTATGCATAAAAATATCTTAAGAATACTGGTGACCAGTGTGTCAGAAACCTGATTAAAAAAGTATAGGTACTTTAGTTACCTGTTTGAATTTAGGAATATTAATAACCTTTAAAATTTTTACTGTGATTTATATTTACAAAAGTTGAACCCTCTCATCCATAAACAAAACTGTTAGTATTCTTTTCTATATTTAATAACTTAGTTTACTCACTATAGCTAAATATGTGGTATTGATTTATTCTGTATTTTCACTGTAGAGAGTGAGAAAGTATCCATCTTTTGATCTATTTACATTATTTCAAAATGAAAAATGTTAAGCAGCTATGATTTATTATCAAAATATGCAAAATGCATTGGATCATGGTCACAATGCTTAGGTTGACATTGATTTCTGATTAACAAACTAAAACACATAACTCAATCATTTTAAAATCTCATAGAACTAAACTGTAGTTTTAACTTTGCTAAAATTTAATGTTGGAATAGTATCATAATCCAAATACATGATGAAACAAGCTAAACAAAAAGAAACTTCAAAGTTTCCTTCCTAACAAAACTTAATACATAGACGCATTATACGCTTTTATTAGTTTCACCTGTATGTTTGTATGTATGTAACTCGTTGGACTCAATTTTACCCAACTTTAAGTGATCGGATTTACTTTAAACTTGGCAAATATATGTAGATTAGATGTCAATAAAATATTATGGTAACACTGCGCTGGATGATGGAACTGGTAGGTGGCTGATGGAACCCTGGACTGCCTACTAGTAAAGAATCGAGTTAGGGCTCACGAGATTCATCTTAACATAATAAAACTTGGCAATTATATGTAGATTAGATGACAATACAATATTGATGTACACTATTGATGGACTTTGATTGTATATTCAACTGTTATAAAAAGTATTTTAACTCAATATGTTTCAATAATTTTCAAAAATTCTATAATAAAAATAAAGTTATGAAAAGAAAATTAATTTCATTGTAAAAAAGCATGGGGTGCTCGATATTGATTGTTCTAAATATATAATTAGTAGTTATTTGTAAACAAAGAGTTTGTGTTGATAGACAAAGCAGAAAACTTATAATCTGATTTTTAGTTTAATTTGCCATTAAAGCATGTTTTTTAGTTTTTCTAAACTATTTTTGATGGTAAATATAGCAAATGTATTAGTTCCTTTCTATGTGTTTATATAACAAACATAAATTATTCATATTTATGATATTAGTAGGTTAAGAGTATAGATTTTATTTTGGGGGTCAGCATTCTAGAAATTGGTGTTTTTGGATATTTGTGAAATCAATGTGCATTGGTATCAGGTAAATCGCATTGGATACTCGCATCAATGCTAAATGAATTTCAGGATCATACTATCACAGGATAAGATGCAATATGAATAAGGACAGAAGCGTGTTTTGTGTGGGTGTATCTTTTCAATTCCATAAATCATGACTTGAAACTGTAATCGAAACCATTTATTTACTTATTGGTAGTAACTGAAAATATTGAATGCTGGCAAAATTATTACATTAAAAATTGCACTCAGACCGTAGGTTTTGAATGTAGTCCAGTGCCACAAACTTTTCTATGCTGGTGGCAAAAATTTGAACTATAATTTATCCATAGCATTTAGACATTTTTATGACATATTTCTTCACCACTAGCGACATCTTCACCGGCACAGATAAGTTTGTGGCACTGTTGCTATGTAACGTTGACAAAAACTAGATGACATCGGCATCCAGTCGAATGGATACGCGCATCCAAGCTTGCATCGTTATCGCGCATCGTTATTCTAAAAACGCCCTCCCCTACAGTCACAGCATTCCCCTCTGTCGATTTTTTTTTTCCACTGCTGCCGTGGCCAGCTCATGGACAAAACTAATTTGCGCTCGGATATTTTACTATAATGAGTCAAGTCGCGCGAGTGTATGTTATAGATCAAATATGTAATTTGTTGTTGTTTAAGTAGAATTATTAACACATTATTGATATATAACCACTTTTAAACATAAAATTCAATTATCGGACTTGTTCGACAAAACAACTGACTCGCCAGTACAAATTTCAGATGTCAATAAAAAATCTTGAGTTTCATCTATGCCCAATTTAACGCTGTCGTAATTACAATTTCGTATTTGCGAAAATATATTGGACTGCAGTTGTCTGTATATTCCTTCCCCTGCAAAATAGCGGCAAAATGATTTCAGTAGTATTATGTCATTATGGCTACTCCCTCCGGACTTGGGAGGTCCGCAACCTGCATTGCACAGGCCTCTGTTAATCCCCCCCTTCCTTAGAAGAAAACATTAATAGTGACAAAGATGAAGTTATTGTAGCGTTTAACCATGCATTGCAACAAAATCAAAACTAATGATTAGTTCCACAACGCCACCGCGAGTACGAACGGCAACGGTTTCTGAGTCGTGCTAACGTTACGTTTTTATAAAAAGTATGTAAGCACTTGAAAAGATCGACCGTTATACCGTTTCAAATAAAGCTTTTAGTCAGTAAGTCTTTCATTCGGCTGTAGGGTATCTATGAGGATTTTACTCCCGCTCCCCCGCCTGGGAGGAAACGAAAAAAATCTGTTATCATTCGTATTTAAAAAAATAATAATTCATTTATTCAGTTTAGGCTTGTAACAACAAGCACTCATGAATGTCTAGAAGCTACGCCATCGGTTCGTAAATCTACGGTGGGAGACCTTGTACTGAGAAGAACTGGCAGGAAACTCAGCAAGGGCTGTTCTTTTCTCCCTGTTTTATTATTTACAGAATCGTCAAATTGAAAAATGACTTCATTGATGATTCATGAAGTCACCTTTCATTACATAATAATTAAATATATATTAATTGTTAACCTGCATCTTGATTGCTGTGTCATACAGTATAAATAAAAATAGTGTTATTTATATTAAGTGTGACTAAACATTAACTTCAATATTAAGGAAGTTAGGGTAGACTCATCTCCGTTGGCAGCACCCGTTCACGAGCATGACGCATGAACCAGCCATCGCTTCGCTCAATCATATTTTACATTTTTTTTAACTAACAATTATTCTAAATAAATTATACGTTGAAGGTACATACCTACCTGAATTGCCTTTTTTGACAACTTTTACTAAACGTTTTCTTATAAGTTAGCAATAGGAAGGCTTTTGCTACAACTACAAAGGATACTGAAAAAATTGTAAAATAACGTGTAGACATGGTCGATATATTAGATATCGATATTTAATTGACTATCAGTGCAAGAAACTTTGCATCTCTACTTATTACTGAGTTATAAAAATAGGTACTAAAATACTGATATCGATAATATCGCGTTAGCATTAGTTACATGCCCTACTCATATTTCAAAAGCCTGCATCCCTAATCGCATTTTTTCATAGAGTAGCGCGGCGTGGGGCGGCGGATCTCCCATCGCAGCGCTGTTCTATGAAATTACAAGAAACTGTATGTGGAGCGGATGGATGTCTGCTCCATGGTCCCGTTTAAGGCAGCGCAGGCCCTAAAGCATGGGAGACTTAATGTGTATATCTAAAAGTTCTTTTCTCGTTTTAAAATTATTAATGCTGACTGCGCCTATTGGTAATTGTTACAGATATCCTCAACTAGGACCAAGACTACCTCGAGGTACTTTCACCGGTCGTCCTAGTCTGCTTGATAATCCATCGCCACAGAAACCTCATGATTTTCATGAGAGAAATAAATATAGACATGATTCTCGACCAAGTTATCAATACCGACACCAAGACAGAAATCCTCATCAAGGAGCGAGATCTATATATCCAATTCTTGATCGCATGCGACATGAATCTAAAGATCAAAGCAAAAATCAAGAGAAAATGTATTATGACAAACCTAGCAATGATAACTATCACCTAAATAGTATGGGCGATATTGATGATAGACAAATCAATTACATAAATAATCAAGATCAATATGGCCGCCATCCTATATCACCTTGGATTAATCCACATGATAATAGAAGGCAGCACTTTGATGACAGAAATATTAATCAATCTTACAGGCATGAGAATCCAGACAGTAATAAAATTCCTGTATTGGAATACTCTGGTCATAGACCTCCATCTTCGGATCATTATGGTGGTAATCCAAGCTCTACTCTAGATAATTCCAATAGCTTTAGTAGATCAGTGGATGACACTGTTGATATTATACGTAGAAGATTACAAAATCGAAATGAAATTCCACCAAATGAAACTTCTGAAGGTCAAAGTGGTGGCAACCAAGATATAGATGATAGGGTACCTCCTTCAATGGTTAGTAATCATCAAAATGTTCCACAAAGCCAACCTGTACGGAAAAGAATACAGAGGCAAAAGCAGAATATAGAAGCAAATTGTGACAAAATGAAAAACAAAATTGTACATGAGCTTTTTAAAATGGACAAAGACAAAATTCATAAATTAATGGACAATCCTAAATCGTCTTCGAAATTTGAGTATGCTCTCAGTAGTTTTATAACAGAGTCACAAAATAGTTTAAACAGACACTTAAGGTCAGTAGCTGAAAAGTCTTTATATACTTCTGAAGATTTTGTTCATAATGACAATAATACTATTTATGAGGACACATTTATGAAACAAATGCAAGGTGTTTTAGACCCTCAAGATACTATATTACTTGAAGATATAAAACCACTTGTTTTAGCTGAGCTAAGTAAAGTTTTGCAATTAAACGAGTATGATCAACCATTCCAGATGGTGGAACAACCAGAAATATGTGAAACAAATAATGAAAAGTATGATCCAACTATTTATGGAAATAATTCCCAAGATTACTATGACCAAATCAATTCACCACAAAATGTATATGAAACATTTGACAATGATCATTTTGTTGATGATTTTTATAATTTTGAATATACATCATTAGAACCAGGTAAATCAGAGCCTCTCTTTGAAAGACGGCCTACCAAGAAAAACGTTGAGCGCTTAGAATCAAGACTCAGTACCGAATCTCAAAAATCGTTAAGGACAAGCTTTGAAGGGACAAGTTCAAAACAAAATTGTCCAGTTTCTGAAAAAAGGCGGCATTCTAATAACTTTGATAAAAAACCAAGTGAGGAAAGAGAAACATTACCACTTTTTGATTCAAATGCTGAACAATTATCAGAAGAAGACGACCCATTTGCTGAATTGGACAAGCAATATCATGTTGCTGTTGATCATAATTTTATTGAAACATATGATATTTCCAGCCCACAACAATCAACTTCCGAAGAACTCATAAAAAAAAACAATGCCAAATCATCAAGCAACTCGGAGACAGACAATATAAAGCAAGAGATTGACAGTCAATTACATGATATTGCTCAATCGCCTCTAAAGAGAGCTTTTATAAGCACTATGAAAGACAAAAGTGAAAAAATTAATATGTCTCTAACTTCCTGCAGCTCTGGGCAAGAAATTCAAGTTAAAAAAGAATGTCATACTGATCATATTGATCAAGGGACTCCACTTAACGTAAACATCAAGCAAGAGTACAATGTGAATTCAAGTAAGGAAAAAGTAACCACAGAGAACATTGAAAACATAAACACACCAACAAAAAGTTTACCTTCAAATGCACGAAAAAGATCTATAGATCAGAAACCATCTCACCGCAAAGAAAAGCGGAAGAAAAGTGATAGTACTATAGCCGATCCTGGAAAACAAAATTTGAATAAGAATATAATAATTAATGTTAATGATTGTAACTCTAGTGACACAGAAAAATGTAAAGACGCAGCAAAATCAATTTTAAATTTGTTTTTCTCAAAAGACAATGATCCCAAAGAAGTGCCTCAAGAAAAAAATCAAATTGAATCCATTGAAAACCCCTATTCTGAGAAATACGTCAAAAGAAAAGAAGCGCAAAAGAAAAATGAAAATGAAGGAGACAAGAAAAAAAGGCAGCGTTCAATATCCTCTAGTCATTCCATAGTGTGTCCAAAAGAGAATTTGAATAACAATTCTCAAACAATCAAATCTGAATCTAAAACAAAACTCCAAAGTATTGATATGTTTTTAGAACAACCACGCAAAGTTACCCAGGTACACCAAGCTCATAGAAATACAAACACTCCAATAAAATCTATAGAAATCGTCAAACCCAAGACCCCCGTAATAACTTTCAATAAAAAAATTACGAAAAAACACATATCAACACAAGTTTCGCGTAAAACACAATCAAAAGAGACTCAAACATTGGTTAATCGAACTAATAATACAAAATTTTCCCAAACTGAAAGAAAAAATCTGATTAGTAGGTCTGTCCAAACTGACCCAGTAAGGTTTGAGAAATCAGGGATTAAAGCTACTGATACATTCGAGAGAATGAAACAGATTGATTTAGAAATACAAGTTCTCTTACAAGAAAAGTTTAAACTGTACAACTCGATAGAATCCAGTGACCCATGTCCCAGTAGAATTGAATCTCTAGGCATGACTGTTGTAAATGTAACACCTGATGACGAAATTAAAGATAATGATGTAAATGAAGTTGAAGTACTGTCAGGTGATGATATTGTTGAAGATTTCACAAGTATTCCTGTGGAGGAACTTGAACAAATAGCTTTAGAAACCATACAAGATGAGCAAAAAAATAAAAAACAAAATAAGAAAAATAGGCGCCAGAAAATTTTAGACGAATCACGAGCTAGCTCCTCCAGCCCCACCACTCGAAGAAATGCTAAGAAAACAAACACTCCTAACATTTCTCTTTTGGAACAAATTATTACCGATGATAGGCCTTTAGAAGACATAATATCGTTGGATGATTTAGAGACAACGCCTGTGAAGAGTAAAAAACAGAAGAAAGTACAAAGTGTACCAAAGAAAAAGCTTAAAAAAACAAAAGCAGCAAAACCCAGTATCAGTGTAACTGATTATGAACTAAAAGAGTGTTATGTCGTGTTAACGCGTGATGATTTGAGTGAGTATTACAAACACCAGTCGGAAAGTGTTGATTTAGAAGATTACGACGAAAGTGCCCCCCTTTCTGTTGAAATTATTGAAGAAACTCCTATAGAGGATGTCAGTATTATTGTTGAAGAAACAGTTACGAATGATTTGCAATTCGATATGCTAGACGTATCAGAAGACATAGTGATAGGTGATAACTGTGAAATCAAGTCAAATGAAGACAAAGATATGGAGAGACCTTCTGTGGTGATTACTGAAGAGATAATTTTGGATAACAGCCAGTCGCACGAGCTCTCGCAAAGTGAAATTAACCTGCCGGACAATATTTGCAAGATGTATGATTATTCTACTGACGAGAACTTACGACGTGACACAGTCGTTGTATCTGGGCATGCAGATGCTGTACTAGCAATTGAAGTAAGAACCCTTTACCTTAATAATTAACCGCTTTATTACAAAACATAGACTAAAATTAAACCTGCTGTAAACCGATCGATGCTATGACTTTTGGTTGCTAAAAATAAGACAGACAAAACATTAGGTTTAAAACAAAATTAACTTTAGTCCGCGTTTTTTAATAAGGCAGTAAATGTCTCAGCTGCTAGGCGTTCTCTTCCCTACCATAATATTTGTTGGTATGCAAAATTCATTAAGTAATTTATTAATAGGGTATATTCCAAATTTTTGAAATCTGCTGTAAGTAATTTAAAAAAATTGTTTATACCAAAGTTGTTGGTAATTATGAACGGAACAACTTTTCCATTTAAAGTTTTCCATTAAAATGATATTTTCAGGGTGAAATAGTGAAAAAGCACTATTTTTGAGACTTTAGCGCCACCTACAATACGCATATTTTGTTGTACGATATTGCAACAATGACATAAATTGTAGTACTCAACGCCCTCTACAATTATGGTCGAAAAAAAGTTTCTAAAATACATACAAAACAAGAAAAATGCGTTTCAAAAAAATTTTGAGGGTTTCTTTGAGTTTTTCAAAAAACGCCTACGAGTTGAAAATGCCCATCGCCAAGGTGGCTTACTGACGTCATTTGGCAACAGAAAAAACAAGACTTACCCTTTAGGTTTTTTTTTCACCACTCAACCTACAGATTGACTGTACTATAAAGTTGAATTTATTTTTAATGGTTTTGAATTTACCGCCAAAACGCTTGGTTCGAAGACGTCTGCTGTGTGACGTGTGTACTTGATATACAAAATTGCAGAGTTGTATGGAGAAAGAATGGATCCTTTGCCCGAGAACTATGGATCTAGGAAACAGCCTGATACCTAGTCTTGAGTTGAATAATTTGTAGTCAACTTTTTTTAGATAACGAAAATTTTGTTAAAGTAACGAATACTCTTCTTATTTGTTTCTTAGGTTTTCACGCACATCACTCATTAAATAAAACTAGTTTTTACGGGTTAATGCACGAATGATAATAAATGAATACTCTTCTTTTCTAGTGCGTCGAGAATAATTTCATAGCAGCTTGTTTAGACGGAAATGTTTACCACTTCGGTGCTGACGGCCAACTCATCACCACCCTGCGAGGCTCCAACTTGGCGGTCACTTGCCTCACTATTGTCAAGGAGAAGTACGGAACCACAGTATACACAGGCTCTCTAGACTCCAGGATAAGATACTACGATTTAGATGTGAGTGTTAGTTATAAACGTTAAAAAGACATATCGGAACTTCGTTATTTCAATCTTGTAACTTTTTGATGTGTAACATCTTTCCTCTCGCTTTCGTGCATTTTGTGGGAGTGATTACGTGAAGTGGGACAAAAGTGTGAAGTTTGTGAAGTGCGCGCTATTTGTTTGATTTTAGAACATAATGTTCCTTTTGTAGTAGCTTTTATTTCTTTTTTTACTAATATAAGGTGAGGTTTCAAATGTTTACACATCATACGCGACTACTGTAAAACTCGCTCATTTTTTTTATAGCATCCTCGCTTCTCCTTATTCGAAAGAGGGGAAGATGTTGTATATCCCGGCAAATGTAGTAATAACCACCAGAAACTAATTCTTTTGTTATTATAATGTACTAGCGGCCCGCCCTCGCTTCGCTTCGGTGTAGAGCCGAAGTGTAGACTACAGTTTTTGTTCTCAGGCTTGTATTATACACAATGACATTCATCTATGATTCTTCTTATACCTGCATGCAAAGTCTCAGCCCGATCGGTTTAAAATTGACAAAGTTTCATACAAACTTTCATTCCCTATTTTATCCCCTTGGGGGTAGAATTGATCAAAATCCTTTCTTAGAGGATGCCTACGTCATAACATCTATCTGCATGCCAAATTTCAGCCCGATCCGTCCAGTGGTTTGGGCTGTGCGTTGATAGATCACTATGTAAGTCAGTCACCTTTGAGTTTTATATATATAGATGTACTCTACGAGGGTGACATAGTCAATGTTGTGGCTATACCCTCATTTATAAAGAATTTTAAAAGAGATTTTGAAGACAGGAGCTTTTGTAGGTGGAGGAGGAGCTCATGGCGCAAATGGTTAAAGCGTTCGGCTGCGATCGTTGAAGTTAAGCAACTTTCGCAATAGTCGGTCATTGGATGGGTGACCAAATATTTGCTATCTCGAGCTCCACCGTGCTTTCGAGGGCACGTTAAGCCGTTGGTCCCGGCTGCATCTGCAGTCGTTGGCATCCGCCAACCCGCACTGGGCCCGCGTGGGTCATGGACATATCTCCCTATTTCATCCATAGGGAAGGCCTATGCTCCAGCAGTGAGTACATAAATAGGCTGATGATGAGGATCTTTTCGTAGTATTTCAAAATATTGAACTGTAATAAAATATTTTCGGTAGAATCAAGGCCTGGCATATATTAAAAAGTTACTGTTATAAATGGTTTCATTATCCTTCCTTACTATTACTTGATTTGAGCTTTTTGAAACTCTGATAAACAGGGGCACCTTAGGGCCAAAAGGGCCATAACCCGGGGCGGAGCCTACGAGGGACGGCAAAAGCCATACAAAGGCATTCAGCCATTTTTTCTAGTAAAATTCTTTAGTTTTAACTCTGCTTATGCTGTGAAGGGCTTGTGGATAGACAAGCCCTCACCGGACAAACCTAGACAAGAAATTTGGACACACACACACCGGATCTTGGCGAATTCCTATGGGAGCCATCACCGAAGTAATCTATGATAGATCTTTAGGTATTATGTATTTTCAAAAGTATTGGTTAAAATGGTACGTGGTTTTTTTACAGACGGGTTTGGAGAAAGGGCCGGAGTGCAATGTTCTTAGTCCAATACAAACGATGGATCGTGCCTGGGATACAATATTTGTTGGTACAAGGACAGGATTCGTATTGCAGTTCGAGTGCAAGGTGAATATTGATGGCTTATAAGAATCTTGCTTACCTCACATTTCTCTTTTGCTTACGAGCTACGTCAGAATTCTGACGACGAATGAACGACGATGCGGACTTGAAAAGGCTGCGAAATGTCAATAAATAAATAAAGTTTCGCGCATTAACCCGTTAAAACTAGTTTTATTTAAGTCTACTGTCTGTAATAATGCGGTTAAAGTGTAAACGGTTTACTATTTAAAATAAAATTATAAATCAACTGTAATATGCCACTTTTCTGTTGCAGAACAATATGTTGATACCAGTTAGCACCGTGAAATTCTCGGAGCAATCAATACTGGCCCTTCGTGCCATGAAAGAAGGTCCTCGGAAAGTTTTACTCGTGGCAGCTAGATCCGAAGACGTTACCATTAAGGATGCCCAGACCGGTCTACTTCTACGGACCCTCGTCGGGCCCAAGATGACAGTTTATACACTGTTGTACGAAGACGGCAAGATATATTGTGGAACTAGCAGCCATCAAATACACGTATTTGATTATGCTGTGAGTATTTCCTAACATTTTAATATTATAAATGCGAAAGTGAGTTTGTTTGTTAAATTTTCACACCTAAATCAAGTTGTTGGAAGTCTATTTGTTTATCTTGCGTCAATAACTTATATATTATGCATGGGGTCAAAGAAGATATAACTAGAAAACAAAACCAAACTGGCCAGGTATACAGGACTCGAAACTGTGTATATAAACATTCAATCGAGCGAGCGAGACAGAATTCTACGCTTCAACGCAGCGCGAGCGAAACGGCGTGAGTCCACGTCGCTTTGCAGCCGACTGCGTTTTCTTTTGTCTCTACAAATGGCTGAGCTGTATTATTGTCCTTTTCTTGATAAAAAATGGCGAATCAGTTACTAACATTCATGGCAAACCGTGATTATTGAGATTTTTTTTATAGTTTTACGAATGAAAAATGTTGCAGTGACATTTGTTAATTGATTTTGAACTAACTATTTGTGTTCTTTAAAAATCGTCAATCATCGAAAGCATTATTTTATTTTTATAACACAGAATATACGCAAAATTGTTATCATCACTCAAGCACATGCATCGTGTTTGGATGCCCAATTGTGACTAAAGCGAATTGTGGTCATGCACCACAATTTAAGCGGATCACTTTAGAGCCGCGAGTGCCGTATCTTCGCTTTTTGTTTAATCTAAGTTATTATTATAAATAAATGTTGTTTCAGTCCGGGTGCCACATTGGCGCGCACGAGGGGGGTAAAGGCGCGGTTTGCCTCCGAGCGGCGGGCGGGCTCATATTTGCGGGCTGCTACGATGGCTGCGTGTATGTGTACCGGGATAGCGGGCCTCGGCCGCTGGCACAGCTGCGGGGCCCGGGGCTGATGCTGCTCTCCCTGGCCGTCGTCGATACTAGGGTCAGTGCATGTTGTTGATGATAATAGGGGTGTTGACGGAGTACAGTAAACGAAATTCTATTTAGTCCGTCAGTTAGATGATCAAAAAATAATGGACACGTATTTTTTCTTTGGGCAATCAACCAAAAAATGACAAAGTTATAGCGCGTCAAAGTTTGGGAGTAGGGGCTCGTGACGTCACTTTCTAGTGAATATTCGCTTAAAAGTGTACTCAAACGTGACGTCATGCGACTTTTCAAATCAATATATCTCTGCAATGTTTATATTATGTTAAAAAAGAAAAAAATACGTGTCCAATACTTTTTGATAATCTACCTGATAAACGAAGAAAAAAAAATTAGTCATAATCCCTTTTGCGGGCTGCTACGATAGCTGCGTGTACGTGTACCGGGACAGCGGGCCCCGGCCCCTGGCACAGCTGCGGGGCCATTAAGGATGCCCAGGGCTGATGCTGCTGTCCCTGGCCGTCGTCGATACTAGGGTCAGTCTGTATTAATCTTCGTGTTCTTTTTCTCTCTTTATTGCGATTCAAAAAATAGCGGACTTAATGCCATAAAGCATTCTCTACCAGTCAACGATTGGGCAAAGCGGAGAAATTCTTCTTCTTCTTCTATATAAATAAAAATGAATCACCTAAAAGTATGTATGTACACGCAGAATTTCTGAATGACTGTACCAAATAAAGAAATATTTGTTTTTGTCAGAAAAAAGTTTGTGTGAACATAAGAAAAAAGAAACTTTTTTTTAACCTCAGTATGAAAAGTGATCGATTGAATTAGACAGAAGACTGTGAGATATCTTCAATATATTGACAGAACATGTTGTTGCTTTGATATTGTCATATCAATGCATGGTTCACCGGTACATACATACATACGTGTAGTATAGACAGTCCCGGCCGCTGGCACGGCTGCGGGGCCCGGGGCTGATGCTGCTGTCCCTGGCCGTTATCGATACTATCGATACTGGGCCCATTCCGCCTTAGGGCATCGAGTTCGGAGTAAGACACTTTTTTTATGGAATAGCTAGATTGGCTCATGACTCGCCACGTGGGCTCAGTGCGGAATGGTGGGTGGTGTATATATATTATTAAAACCGTACTTCTCCGTTTACAGGGACCAAAATGGCGTTTTAATACACGCGTAATCAATTATTAGGAATGTGAATATTATCAGTTAAAGTTCCAAACACCAAAGAAATCAATCACGAACATTTTATGAACACATCAACGTAAAGGAGACTGTCCACCTTAAAACAAGGCTATTCCAAAGCTCTCTCCTATAATAATTACAATATATTTCATTATGGCATCTATACAATTATATTAATACACATATATTGTTTGTTACAGATTATTGCTGGATACAAAGATAGAAGTTTGTACATATGGAAGATTCCATTAGGCATACAACAAGAGATGATTTTATGAATTTCTACCTAGGCGTTGTAGATGAAATCTCACCTTATATTTAGTTATGGGTGTATTCATATTTTTTTCTAGTTTGTACCTTGTATATAATAAAGTACCAATAAAATAAAGGTCTAACTTGATAACTGTTATTCTGTTGGCTTTCATTTTCCCCTGCATACTTAGAGCACCCTATATCCTATACTAGATGTTCATCATCATCATCAGCCTATTAATGTCCCCACTGCTGGGGTATAGGTGGAGCTTCCCTATGATGTTATAGGGAGATTGGGCCATTACCTACCACGCAGGCCCAGTGCGGGTTGGTGGGTGCTAACGACTCCCGATGCAGCCGGGACCAACGGCTTAACGTGCCTCCCGAAGCACGGAAGAGCTCGAGATGGTAAATTTTCGGTCACCCATCCAATGACCGACCAATGCGAAAGTTGCTTAAATTCGACGATCGCAACGAAACGCGCTAACCACTTGCTCCATCGAGCTCCTCTAGATGTTACTCTCAGTTTATTAGGGATATTTTCCCAAAAACTCTATACTAAATTTTATTAAAATCGCTCCAGCCGTTTAGACGTGAAGAAGTAACAAACATACACACTCACAAACTTTCGCCTTTATAATATTAGTGTGATACACATACAAACCGTGTGGATGTCGACTTCATTACGTCATGGGAGAGGGAGGGGAGCGAAAAACTGTGCCCGATATTTATTATTTAAATTGCACACTGCCAAACAAACAAATGGACCATGATAGTAAGCTGCCACCATAGCAAAAATCCCTGTATTCAGAGTATCATTCATGCGTGGCCTCCTCTGACACTATAGATTATTTCAATCTACTCTAAAGTCCTACCCCCATGGAACCGAGAGAAACTTCTATATGAATAGGACAGAAACTACCTTTTTACGAAGTTTCATCTCTGGGTACTTCACAAGCCACGCGAAAACGATTACATCTACAAAACAAATAATAAGACTTGCCATGATGAGGACTCCACGCACCCTCCGAATCCTGCTGGATTCAGCGTGCGAGACAGCGCTATATACGCGTACGTAAAAGAGTTGGAGATAAAGGTAGATTATTTAGTATCCTTAGCCTTCACAAATATTTATAGCAAGCAAGCAATCCAAACCTATGCTAAGAAGGTCGCCGTCTGTGTACAGTTTTTCTTCCTCCGATGATGCAATGATGAGCTCCGTAAGATGATCGCGTGGTCAAGAACGATCATAAGGGATTACTTAAACATTGAAAATCGCCTTTAAGGCATATTGTATAAGGTTTTAATTAAAACGCATGCGTCAAAGACAAAATGATAGTTCGAAATGCAAGCTCATAAAATTTAACGACATTGCTATATGCGGAAGAACATAGACCTTATTTTTTTGTCTCTACGCTCAATTCTGTATGCGCCGTTACCAATATAGCAGGTACGGACCGCGAGGAAAAGGGACGGCTATACGGCGACATATAACTGACTATGCATTTGAATATCATGAATATTTTATATTAAATCAGTTTATAGCAAGTATTAGAACCAAATTTATTACAAATGCATTAAATTAACAAACATTGATTAGATTAGACCTGTCTAAAAAACGACACTACGTACTATAAGTATTTCTTCGCATTTTTCACGGAGCTCTATGTTGACTGTATCTTCACTTATCAGTGGTCCGCGCATGACTATGAACCAAGAAGTGCTTGAGTGGAGTTCGAGCACTTCTTGATTGGGACCAATTATGAGCGCTCGTGGTGTATCTAGGTTAGTTAATATCGTTGGTCAATTATAAAAGAAAGTAGTATTGAGGTCAGACTAAGGGTACGGCCAGAGTGCACTCAGATTCAGATTCAGAAAACAAGCGCGAGAAATAAACAGTGTAGTTAAAGCAGGGTGGCCATAGTGGCAGCAGGCAACCTGCTTAGACTACACTGTTTATTTCTCGCGCTTGTTTTCTGAGTCTGAATCTGAGTGCACTCTGGCCGTACCCAAAGGCTGTAAAATTGAGATTTTTACTGCTTATGTCTTAATTATATTAAATAATATTTGCTAAATACGCATGCCTTTAATGTAATTTAAAAGACTACAACAATATATGATTTGTGAACGCAGCAAAATTTTGCCAAGTGGCACTCCTGTCGAGAAATTCTGACGTTACGGATACGGTCATCTTACGTCAGTGTGGGTGTTTCGTTCGGCGGCCATTATTCTACGATCTACGTATAATTATTAGTTTTTGCTATTTAGTGCTTATCGAAACAAAGAATCACAATATTTTTGGATAATTCCTGTAAAATTATAGCTTTGGATATAATACAATTATAGTACAAAATGAATCCAGAGTAGTAAGTATCCATATCGTGTCGTGGTATTTTTTTATCTAAGACAGACAAACCCATTACCTTTTTGCATGTTCATTGTCTTTAGTTCTAATATCAATCACTAAACTTTTCACATTTTGTTTAACCTACGACCTGTTGTGCTTATAATCATGTTTAAATACAATCTGGTGACTCACTATGTATGCGTGGTACCACCAGTCGATCGTAGACATAAAACGTAATCGTATGGATCGTGCATTTGTGAATGGCGCAAAACAAACTGTGATTGTACAGCGATTATACTTCCGTGTTCCAAATATCTAATGTAATGAGACACTCTCCTCCCGAGAATGTTTACCCCTTTTAAATCATAAAAAAGTGTGGTATGAAATATCAACAAAGTTCCCTTTCTTTGTTTGCTAAGATACGCCTCCCTTATTCTTTTTTTGTTCTTAGAATGATAATGCGTCAAAATCCTAATATGGTAAGAATAAACAAAATTTTAATGAAAACTACTTTTTTTTCAGTGACTATTTGTTTAAACTTCTGCTGATTGGTGATTCTGGTGTGGGCAAGTCATGTTTATTGCTCAGGTTCGCAGATGACACTTACACAGAGAGTTACATCAGTACCATTGGTGTGGACTTCAAAATTAGGACTGTAGAATTAGACGGCAAGACAATAAAGTTACAGATATGGGACACAGCTGGCCAGGAGAGGTTTAGAACAATCACATCCTCATACTACAGAGGAGCACATGGAATTATAATAGTTTACGACTGCACAGATCAGGTAAATAATTATCAGAAGTTTTCTAATCTTTGTTTTCTACAATTAAAACAGTTAAAGTAGATTCTTTAACTAGTTTTGAGAACTTCAGCTGGTTCTTAGATATTTTTAGAAGAGATCACACTGCCAAATTTTTTAATGAATCGGTGACATTTCTTTGTTAACTTTGCTTAACATTCTTTATTCTTCTTATTTCATAAATGTGAAAGTTTCTATGTTTATGGGTTTTGTATGTTAGTTATTCAATTACGCAAAAACGGCTGAACTAATTTAGATAAAATTTGGCACACATAATTTATTACCTGTATTGAGGCAAAGGATTCTTTTATCCCAGAATAGTGTTAGGTTCCTGAGGGATGCTCAAAGCCCAGGGCGGCCACTAGTATAAAGCAGAATATTGTTAAAGGCGTTGAAATTTGAATAATAATAGTAACCTAATTAAGAGATAAAATGTAAAGAATAAAACTATATTTATGTGGGCCAATATAATTATGTCAGTTCTTTGTATTACTTTTGTGTTTTGTTATCCTTGACCAGAATTATATTGAGCAGTTGCATAGTAGGGCTTTATTCTATTATTCTGGGGGTACTGATTTTTAAAACAAAGAAGCCAATTTATTACTTGGAACATATGCTTATTTTGCATAATATTATTGATAGCAAACAACTGTGAGAGAATAGAATAAGTCAACTTAGTCATAATAAGATAATTAACTGGGTACTATACTGGGAAGTAATAATAAAGTTGATAACAATGGATGAAACAAAAAAAACATGAGTGCAATATGGTTTGATAAATTAATAAATACCAAATTTTATCCTGTGGCCTAGTATGGACTTTTTCCTTTAAGCTACTTATTTAATTTGACAACTTATCCTCTTAATTACAAAACTACACTGTATAAAATTAAAATACTTTTTATTTTATCGAATAACATATTAATTCATGATTCTTTATGATTGCAATTGATGAATTCAATTTATTTGTGTTTTGTGTCACTAGGTATGTGGGCTAATGCCCATATAAGTTAATAATTTAACTTGAGGTAGAATAAGTTTCATTAGTTGTAAGGTCAAGTTATACATTCCCCGATGGCTATGGTTAATTTGATTTTTTAAATTCCCTAGTTTATTACTCTAGTAATTAAAGCAATAAAATCTTGGAATGAAGATAGAGATAATTAAAACAATGTATGCATAAAACTTTAAATATTATGTTCTTTCTCTTTATTTTTATATTGTAGTATCCAACATGTATAGTAGAGATTTTGAATGCAAATAAGTTCAATTAGCCTTACATTTTTCTTATATCTTCCAGGATTCCTTCAGCAATGTCAAGCAGTGGTTGGAGGAGATTGATCGCTATGCGTGTGATAATGTCAACAAACTGCTGGTCGGGAACAAATGTGACTTGACAACCAAGAAAGTTGTAGACTACACCACAGCCAATGTAAGTATAACTATGCAAGCCAAAACAATCAAATAATGTCTATAGACACAAGTCAACAGATGATGTTGATAAAATTAAATGTTCACATTCATAACATGAGATTTATAGACATAGACATGCATACTGCAAACATTTTATTTTCCTTGAATCTTGAGTGAAATCTATCCATTATTTCGATGACCTCTTTGGCTGAGTTGTATATACCAACGCCGGGTTTTATGGCGTCGCCTACTCAAAGGTCCCCGGTTCGAATCCCAATGGGGGCAAATGTTAGTATGATGTATACAACCATTTGTCAGTTGTACCTTAGTCATGGATGTTTATATTTATTTCGAGATAAAAACTACTATATGTATCAGTATTTAGTGCTTACTTTGGGGATAGGCTAATGGGTGTGAGTGTGCGAAATATTTAGTATTTTTATTATTATTATCCTTCAGCAATACGCCGAACAACTAGGCATACCGTTCCTGGAGACTTCCGCTAAGAACTCCACGAACGTAGAGCAGGCGTTCATGACGATGGCGGCGGAGATCAAGGCACGCGTGGGGCCTCCCACGGGGGGCGCCGCGCCCGCCGGGGCCTCCGTCAAGATCGAACAGGGCCGCCCCATCGACACCGGCAAGTCCTCCTGCTGCTGAACAAGTCGCCCACGGTGAGTCTACCCTGCTTTGTTTGTTAATTACAGGACAGCCTTGCCAGACAACATAATATCCCCATCATGCATCATGCTCCTTTACGGTACATGCCATCCGCTTGTGGAACTCACTGCCAGCAGGAATCAGAGACAGCCCAACTGTTGCTACATTTAAAAAACGGTTGAAGGTACACTATCTATCCACTTGAATCACTGTTTCCGAACTGTATTGCTTCTCCTTTTTAACACTTATATATTTTTTTTTCAGTATATATGTTTATTTGTACATCTATGTAGATATATATGTATGGTTTTGTTTCTGTAAGTATTTTATTTTGTTATTTATATCATTCGGCTTTTTTTTATGTTCTTTCCTTTCGCGGGCCTGCTGGAAGAAATTTCAATATGAAATGAGCAGTGCCTTTGTACAAATTTCTCGTTCTTGTTCTACTTATCTGTTTTATTGTGTGTGTACTAAATTAGTATATAAATAAATAAACATCCCCATCGACACCGGCAATTTCTGCTGCTGAACAAGTCGCCAATGGTGAGTCTACCTTACTTCGTTTGTAAATCACAGGACAGCCTTGCCAGACTGGCAAGTCCTCCTGCTGCTGAACAAGTTGATAAACGGTGAGCCTTCTGTCATCTTGCTATATTGATCATAGGACTTATGTCAGTGTCCTCCTCCGAGTTACCTTCCTTAGTCTATGTTTTTCTCCAAGTCCCCCTTTAACTTCATACCAAAATTCAGTAAAATCTATTCATTTGACTAACTTTCGAATTTCAGGGTGGATTATAGCTGATACAACAATAGTAGTTACAGGAACTGCTATTGTTGCATCATCATCAACTTATTAATGTCCCCACTGCTGGGGCATAGACCTCCTCTGTGGATGGAATAGACATTGAGCCATGACACAACATACGGGCCCAGTGCGGATCGGTGGGTGCTAACGACTGCAGATGCAGCCGGGACCAACGGCTTAACATGCCTTCCGAAGCACGGAGGAGGGAGAGATAGTTAATTTTTGGTCACCCATCCAATGACTGACTACTGGAAAGTTGGTAAACTTCAACAATCGCAGCCGAACGCGCTAACCGCTTGCCATCGAGCTACGTCGGTGTTGTACTTATTAATTGTAATCTGGATTTGGGCTTGTCTTATGTATGTGATATGTATCTCTCATAAATACCTATAGCAGCCTGCTGCTCCAGTAATCATTCCATTCGGATTCCATTGCAGGCATTCATTTGTGCACTTACATATGTACCAAGTCATGTTTGTTAATATAATTTGTATTCTATAATCTTTCTTATAAATATATCGCACCTCCGATGCGACACTGTCACTTATGTAAAAAAATCATTTTTCAGGAGAAGCGTTTAAAACTTTAACATCCCAAAACATACAATATTTAAAGTTTTTTTTTAATTTTTTTCAAGATGAATAGCTAAGCTGTATAAGCTTTTCATAACGTAAAAATCTTTATATTATATATATTGTATGTTTTGGGATATTAAAGTTTGAAACACTCATCCTGAAAAAAAATGTTTTTGCATAAGTGACAGTGTCGCACCGGAGGTACGATACGTTATTCATTTAGTTTCCATAAATTGAGGTCTGCTTAGTTTGGTACTACCTTAATTATTCATTGTTGTCCAGTATTAATTTATTTTTGAAAATATGTTTATTTAAATCTATAGAAAATTTTAGTAGAAAAAATTCCACGCGTCCAGGCGGCAGACGAGACTCGAACCCACACCTTCCGCTATCCGGGCGAACGCATTGACCAATTATGCTACCGCGGCCTTAATTTAAATAATGGCCGTGTCGAATTTCTTATCCGGAGGGTGCGGGTCTGAGCCCCGTCTGCCGCCTGGACGCGTGGAATTTTTTCTACTCAAATTTTCTTTACACTTAAACATAGCATTAGTAGCTAGCAGTTAAATGCTAAAAGAAATGAACATTTAACGGCTATTTAATTTGTTTTATTGATGCAAGTTTGTGGTTTCGGTACAGGCGGGCGGCATCACGCAGGGGAGGCGCGGGGCGCCGCAGGGCCGGCCGCCACGACCCACATTTAAAAATAAAATGCAATTACAACACAATATTTCACCAACGCATCATTATAATAACATAAAATTATATATATATAATTACATATTAATATAAAGTGACGGACGCGGCTGCTGCGCGCGCGCCGCACTTCGTAAGCTAAACTCCTGTTAAGTTGCAATCTGTCCGATAAAAAAACTGTTAAAGGAAACGATATGGAATGGATGGGTGTACGTTTATACATGTTTATAATGATAATATCGTAGGTTAATTTTGTGCTGTTTCGACGTTGAGGATGCGGGTGGACGGACGATGGACCTAAGATCAGCTTAGATGTGATTTGTATGCGAGAAGTCGGTTCACAAGTGTATTTTTTAATTTGTATGGAATAGCTTTTAGTGAGGGCCTTGTATCATAACTCCGTCATAAGGTTGCATTACGCTGTTGACTGTCGTTTGTTATTGATCGTACGAAATTGGATTCTGGGTGTGTATTAATAAAATTGATAATCTATGAATCGTAAACTCCGTCGTGCTGTTTTCTACTCTAAGGCATCAAAAACTATATGAACGAGAGTAAGACGGTCCATTATGACGATAACGATATACGAAAATCAACTTTAAGAGTACAGACATATAGGTTCGTTTCCAATGCTTTGTCAATTCTCATAAAAATTACATTGACAAATAAAATATATTTTGAATCCAGAAATGTTTTCGATCGTTTATGACGAATAATGGGTTTGGTAGTAAATTTACGTTCTAATCATGCTAGTTCTTGAATTATATACTTTTTAGTGTATGTCAGTGAGAGAGAGCCTCTTCGAAATTTTTTTCTTGTCTAATTTCCTTTTCATTGTACATAAATCGCTTACTCTAAAAAGGGGAGTGTGAAACGGTCAGCGAACCGAACACGAAATCGGTATTTTTTAACATACTTAAGCTATATAATCTAGCTTGTTTGCACTTACAAAAATTTCCCTTATAAAATCTAACTTAAATCTGTAATCTTGCTTAGAAAATCAAATAAAACACTAGCAAAAGAATGAAAACACTTAGACAAAAATTCGCTTTCAGAAACATCGTATCTGTACGATAAAAAAAAGTATAGAACGATATACGGTGGCGAAGAATTCTTTTAGAAATAAGAATAAGAAGTTGAACAGTGTTAAATTTTCTTCTATGAACCCTGAATTCCGTTGTCGACTTAACAATGGCGTAATGTGACCACTTCTCTCGTGTAAATTAAACCATTTGCCATTCTCTCGAAATATCCATTGAAGAAGCGTAGGCTAATTATTTTTTATTCCAGCTTGTGTTATTATTACATTATAATTTCGTCACGTGAAATACTAATTTAATACTTATCTTCGTATGCACTGGGTGTTTATATTATTCAAAATATTATTGTGAAGTGTACTGGGGTTGTGCTGTGTTGAAGGTTTTGTGTTAGAAAATTCATAAAATTAAGAAGTACTACGTACATATATATACTTACGTCGCGAATTTTAACACAAAATTGTAGATATAGCAGATTGGCCTTAGATAGTTTAGACAGATATTGGTGCCGATTCTGGCATGATAGTCTAAACTTAAAACTAAATTTAACATCAGTCTATTCATTCTGTATAGAGAATGACAAGGATACACTGCTGTCAAATTTAAGTTTAGGTTTAGAGAATCATGTCAGAATCGACACCATTGTAATAGTAAACTTATGTAGTCAGCAATCGAAGTAAAGCGGGATCATAGTATTAATTAAAAGACATATTCATATATCGATATCACAGCAAAAATATTGTGGTAGTTTTTATACCGGTCCAATGTTTGACGCGCCTGCGCAATGTTCCCCCTCGTTTGTTGTTCGTCCCTTATTTACTAAGATGCGATTATTAAAGATGGCGATGTATTTAATATTAATTATAGCGCATGAAACATTGGACCGATCGGAATAAAATTGTTTTTATATAATAATTAATCTGTCGATCTACAACTTACTCGCGTATGTCGTTATTTTTGTACTATTATGTCTGAGTTAAGTTTACTTAAATCAAATCCGCTAACCCACTATAATTCTGTATTGAGGGTTTCTTAGAAATTAAAACAGTATGCTATAAAAATGTGTTTTATTTATACTCCTATAAGATTATTTTTTTTTTATTACAAATCAGTCTTGTAACGCCCAGATAACATCATCCTCTCGCCAGTATTAAAAAAAGTTATCAAAAATATATGTAGTAGTGGAATGCTAGGGTTCTGTCTGCAAATTCTGCTGAGAATCTCCAGATCCAAAAATCTTCGCAAAGAATTTTACTGGAAGATATAAATGTAACTGATCCTATTTCAACTTAATTTGGGATATGCCAAAATTCTTTGCGATTTTAAATACTACTTCGGCTTTCGGCGTGATTCAAACTTTCAGATCTTAACTTTGTAATAGCACAATGTTTTGTTCTGTAACCAACTAAAAGATACATAACGAAAACTGAAGAGGATTGTATGAACGGCCGTTACTATATTTGATGTACTTGGATCAACAGTCAACAGCAGCATCTCATCATGTATTCGTAATCGTGGCATAGTCCGTGCAGGTTGAGGGGGCATTGCAGGAACTCTGGACAAAGCACTGGTAATCTATCTGCGAACAACATGACAAAAAAAGCATTAAACACGCATAATAAACAAAGTTTCACCAACTTTCATTTAAATCAGTTCAGCACTTCAAAAACAACTGAATATAATCTGGACATCTTCAAGGCCAGAGTGAACAGGCATCTTCTAGGCAGGCGTGTACTATTCTAGGCCTCATCATCGCTTGCCATCAAAGCGAGATTGTGCTCAAACCACTGCCGGATTTAGGGGAGGGCAACCGGGGCCTCCACAAACGGGGGGCCCCCACAATAGAGACTTCGGAAAAGAAAATCAATTCCAACTAGTAAACATCTTTTCCAGGGCCGAATTTAAGGCAGGGCAAGTGGGGCTGTGGCCCAGGGGCCTCCACAACAGCTTAAGAAATAACAACATTTCGATGGATCAACAAGCATGCAAATCCTAAGTGGCCCGGGCCCTTTCACAACTGGATAAAAGATAACAAAATTTCGATGGGTTAACAAGCATACAAATCCTAAGTGGCCCGGGGCCTCCACAATCCTAAATCCGGCCCTGGCTCAAACGCATTGCCTATTATAAAAAAAAGAAAATATTTCCCCGTTGTTACGAATGCACCATTGACTTGAAACTTGAACCAGTAATGGTGCAGATGGAACTGATTAATTTCGCCTCTGAAGTGGTAGTGGAGTTTCTTAGCTACGCGTTAGGCGCAAATGTAGTGGGTTTCTCTTAGGGCTATAGCTAATTCGGTAACAGTCAGCTGGGTGTTATCGCACAAGAATCTGCCCCTCTAGCATGACCACCGAAACGGGATATAATAAAGCGATATATCGACATTAACTGTCAGACTACTGTAACAGTAGTCTGACAGTTAATGCCGTTAGATCGCTTTATCATATCCCGTTTTGGAGGTCATGCTAGAGGGGCAGGGAACGGATATTGATAGACTGTGCCTGGAGTACCTACTGTGATCAAAATTTGTAGAAAGCCGCCATGCACACAGCAGCAAACGATTTCAGATGGATTTAAATCTGTCAACACATTGATTGTTCACATCCATTTATTGCTATGCAAACATATTTATACAGGATCTACTTTTGTTATGCTACCATTGGTAACTACATTTTACAGGTTTAATTCTTACTAGACAACGTTCTATATAATAAATGAATATTACCCGGTTTGGGGGGTACTGTCCTTTGGTTGATCCTTAGTGTCGCCGCACACTGGCCACACGTCACAGCCACAAACGCCGCCACGAGAAGCTAGAAGCGGCTACTAAAGTGGCTGAAGTGAGCGACAGCGGCCGACTAAGGTAAGGGAGAGAGAGGTGGAAAATCACGCGAGTGACGTGTGGCGGCGTTTTGTATCGGCGCATTATGTGGCCGGTGCAGGCCACAAGAAGCGAGCAACGACGATTTGTAGCGTGTGGCGGCTACTGGCGAACCGTGTGTGCTGAGTCCATATAAAATGTATGAAAACTACAAGAAATATGCCGGTGGCGGCGTTTTGTGGTTGTGGTTGGTGGCCCCTGTGCGGCGACACTTACCAACGGTGGCAACGCTTTGGTGGCAATTTGTCAAATACATGTGGTTACATTCCCTGGTTGATGGTAATGTAAGGCATTGGGCAGTAGTTCATTCCCTCCAGTACATGGGGAAACAAGACTCCATTCTAGGCTGCACGTGGCATACGGTTACTCGACCCATGTGGATGGAAGACCTCAGTATACCAGAATTGACGAAATATTATAATTATCATAGTAAATATGGAATAATATTAGGTAGATAGATAGAGGTACCTAAATTCATAAAAAAATCCTTCAGCACTTCTAAAGTCGACAAAGCCTTTGAATAAAATATGTATGAATGTTCAAATACCTGAAGAATAGGCACAGCCGCAGCAGTAGCCGTGTATGATGGCCTCGTCATCCTCGCAACTTCTGGGCGGGCAGCCGTTGCACCTCACGCCTATTCCCAACCACGGCAAATTCCCTGACCCAAGGAATGTGACAGTTTTAATAATAAGGAACTATTTTAAAAGATAACATCAAACTTCTTAATGAATCCGTGTCTTTACGCCGTGCATACTCAGCATAGAATTCTGGTTTTCAAACAGTGAAAAATAGGAAGTAGTGCTTATAAACATAAAAATTAAATCTCTAAGTAGATATATTATGGTGAGTTTGAAAGCCGTAGAGACATCAATGGACGACCGGTTTTCTGTTTGAAAGGTCCCGAGATTAGTAATGCATGATACTTTGCGTCTTTAATGTATGTAAGTAGGTAACTAATCTATGTTTCGTTAGAAAAGAACTAGATAATTTTTGTATGTTGTCTAAAACTTTTATAAATAATAAATTATTGTTGTAAAAGAGATCAACATAGGTAGTTAATTAAATATAAACCACATTATACCCGCCTGTTGGTATGCCTGTACGTATAACATACCCTATAGCGGCTTGCGATATCCGATCATCACTCGTGCATTGCCTATAGGGGATTGGATCTTGTGTAGCCCTAGATCTTTACATACCAGTAGAGAAGCTACACCTTCAAAATGTAGTGAGAAACGTAAGAAGATAAAGACTAGTAGTAAGTGGTTTGGTATCATTATGTTTTATATAAAACAGACACTCGAAAGAAATAACTTGAATGAAAATAATGTAGCAGACAAGTGCAGGGGCGTTGCAAGACAAAGGACTCTACAATGGGAAGCCCGAAGACAATAGTAGAGGCCTGCAGCAACATTCGGGGACTGCTGAGCTTTCTGGAGGAACTGGGATGGCAGGACTGATGCCAATCCCCACGCAAAACAGGCACTGGGTGTCGAGTTGCGGAAAATAGCCCGCCGTACTACTAAGACTATGTAGTAGACAAAAACTTACATCTCGTAGCTTTCTTTACTGCATCCAAGCCGGAGTCAGATGACGGGAAAAATAATCCAGCACTACTGCCGATACAAACGGATAACACTAAACCAAACAGTACCCTGTAAGGATCCATTTGAAATAAATAGCCTTTGGTTTACTCTTAAGCTCATTATATAGGGAAAAGTTAATTATGTACTTAATTTACTCCTAGGTCAGTGCCTTTGAGAATTTTTAAAGACAACTCATTTTACGATTTGAGACATTTTTTTAAATCCAACGCTTCAAATGTAGGACCAATTTGAAATATTTTGTTACCAACAAGCAATGTATTAGGGAATACATTAAACAAACGCGTACTGAGGGGCAGACTCATTTCATATCTTATCTAAATTACATTTTTAGCTTATCTAAGGTAGAAAAATATCATGTTCTTATTAATTTTCTAAGAAATTGAGTCATTGGTTCAACGCCCTAAAGAATTAGGAATATGTGATAACGTGCTCTGATGATGTGAGGAGGTATTTATTTGTAGATATTATAAAATAAAATAAAGAGATTATAAGATAATAGAAGGGGGGGGGGGGGGTTTGGGCCCTTAACGTCAAATGTACCTACTATTGATGGTACTACTGTCCCCTAGCACGAACCCTATCGAATTTGTATCGTTTGCGATTCCGAAATGTCGATGTCAAATTTTGTATGGAAACTTGAACAGCAGCGGCACAAAGTACGTAACGAGAACAAAAAATCAGTAGACATTTGACAATGACATTTCGGACTCGCAAACGATACGAATTCGATATTGGTTCGTACCCTTAGCACGAACGCACTGAACACTTTACGTCACTAGTACCATTAAAAATACTCAATGATATCAATTTCTATATATTGATTCAAATTGGTCCTGTAGCGCATACAGTTCCATATTTGTGATAGCGATAGAATAACATAACACATCACAATATAACATATCCAAAGTACTAACACTTGATAATTATAGAATACTAGCAAACCAGTGAACCAAATGTTCACCAAAAAAAAAATGTATTTAAATAATTGAGAACTTCGGAGATTTTGTGTGGTTTCGTTTGAAATAGAAATCACGTGATTTCTCGAAAACTGGAAGTGCTACGTTACTCAAATCCGGTTTGTAGTCTTATCAGACTATTCTTAACTTATAACTTAAACATTCTCTATATCTATCTCTTACGGTTTGGCCGCTGAAACAGCACCACGGACGGACGGACAGATTTGTCTAATAGATAAGAGATTATGTATTAAGATCAAGCATAGTGGTATAGAGTTCAGTTATCGATCAAGTTAAACTATTTCCTTTCTTTATCTTAAATTCATTTTACATCATATTTCTTTGCTTCTCTTATATTTATGTAAGTATATCCTGTATCTACTTTTGCACCCTTCTATATTTCTCTATTATTATTCCTTTTCTACCATAGGTTGCCTGGAAGATTTCTGTTTAGCAATAAGGTCGCCTATTCAATAGGCCCTATTGTATACTCTAAGTTTATGTCTTGTGTTCTTTGTTGTGTGCAATAAAGAATATTTTTAAGATCTCACGACTCAAGCGAGGCTATATTTACTGAGACGGATTTTACGCGCTGACCCGTTATCTATAGAATTGTTGATCGCAGCATACAATTAAGGAAATAAATCTAAACCAATAGTATTTCTGCTATCAGTGACTATGGTATTTAATGAGGTAAGTCCAGAAAGGACTAAGATTGACTCAATCACCCCTTTTGTTTAATTAAAATTTTCAAGCATATGTGGGCCGATCCCGGCGGCACTGCAATGCCGGGCCGACCCGTGACGGGAGTGGAGCGAGCCCCGAACATCCCGTCGAGTTACAAAAATCAGTTTAATATACTGGTCCCTCAGTGAGGGAACTTTCAGATATTAAGCTGAAAAGAACAGATACTACACTTTGATCTTAGCCAAAAGGCCGAGAAGCGATACCGAAGTGGAAAACACCCAACGGGGTCATGAAATCAGAAACAATCTCAACACCGCCGACTACAAAATAATATCAACAACTTAGTGATGACATCTAGCGAACGCATATGGAACTTTGTTGCGAACCTTTACCGAGGCTTGGTCATCGTGCGATCGTTATCGGTGATTAGCGCCCGTCTATAGGCAGCTTCCTCGAACCTTCTTTTTCTTCATGGGTAGGGTATTGGGTCAGGGTAGGCAACGGCGCGAGTGATATTATTTTTTATCGCATTCGTCTAGCATAGGCTATGGTGGCTACTTACCGGCGCCGGCGGGCCATATGCATGTTTGCCACCCTTTTGAGATAAAAATAAAACGTGACATTCTTTATGTGCTGAGGGTTTATTGATATAGTTTTGTTTTATATGCGTGTACCTACATTAAACTGTTTTTATTCGAATACAGATTTTTCCGAAACCGGTACCATTGGCATTGACAGCATACTGGCTCGATTACACTTGGTGTTTAGCATGTATTCGTCGTTTACCTGATTTCCATTAACAATCGTATTCGGGCTAACGACCAAGTGTAATTGAGCCATACCGGTAATAATTTTATACAGGTAAAACATACCGGTGTTTTCTTTAGTATACCGGTATTGTAGTTTTTATACTTTTAAAACTATTAATAAATACCTATATAAACCGCTTATGAATGTGGGTTGTGATAGTGACTGAAGCAGATGTAGTCGGGACTAACAGCTTAACGAAACACGGAGAAGCTTGAATTATTAAGGTGATCAATCCTATGAATGACCATTGCGAATGTGATCTGCAATTTGCTGATCACTGCGCCATCTTTAGATCTTTCTTTGTTATTCATTAAGATTTTTATAAGGGTACCATGCCCAATGGATGATAAACGGGACCACTATTAATATGCCTCTCTGCTGCCTGTCTGTCTGAGGATTTTATCTAATGAATAATAGCTATACAATAGGAAATAGACACTTGAAATTTTCACAGAACGCGTGTTACATATGCTTATGTCATAACAAATAATAAAATTGAAAGGAGTCGTTATTTCTTTTACTTGTAGAACTCTACGTTTGCGAGTCCGACTTGCACTTGACCCTTTCTTTTTCGCATTGATTAGTCAGATCATGTAGATTATTTATAAAAGCCTGACACGTTAGCTAAACAAGAGGCGATAGATTCATGGATTTTATTTATTTTCCTGACAGAAGTCATTCAAGTCAAATTACCGCTACGTGTTCTACTACAAATAATTCTTGACTTTAAATTAGTTAACTTAGGTACTTGGAAAGCGACGTGATCTCCAAAGCCTACCGTGGTAAGTGTCACAAAACAGTAATAAAAACTGTCAATGTAGCTCCAACCTTTGTATCCCGAAAAACTGCAGCTCTTGTCTGTTTGTGAGGTTTGTTCTCAATTATGACAATCCCTCTATTATATGGTAGTCTTCTGGTGTGATGTTATATTTTGTAACTAATCCATTTTTCTTTGTAACTAATCCGTTTTTCATATCTATATAATAATAAAAGAAATTCAAAGCAAAATACGTTATTAATTAAAAATAGGTTTCTATTCGAAATTTCCTGCTGCGGTTTATTATTTTTGTATGTAAATAGCATGCAGAGGTGTTTACCTCAGCTCAGCTTTTTTGATATTTTGTTAGCTTTATACAAAGGTACTTATTACCTACCTACATGTTATTTAAACTCAAAAGTCTTAACGAAATTCTTGATAATCTTGAATTTGGTATCTATCTGAAATACCTATATCTAGTATTTCAATTTATTTCAACCATCATCTAAAAAGTTCTTTGGTTGTCATAGAAAACGTGCTTGAGAAACTTTGCTAGGGGAGATACGTTTACTGTAATAAATCGTAGAAAGTTTACTTAAAAATGATTACATATACAACGTTCATTGTTTTTTATTAAATTTTAAAATATAAATATTGTTTGGCACAAAAATAACATCAACCCTACTTAATTAAAAAATAAGTATAGGTAGAAAAACATGGAAGCATAAAAATTATTCTAAGTAAGGAAGTTAATTTCCTTAATTATTTGTGATCAAATACATTTGACTACACTTATAAAATCTTTTTGAAATTGATTTATGTAATGTTTTTATTATGCTGGTTGACAAAAAATAGACTTAAAATTACCTGTATTTTCAGAATATATTCATTATTAAGATTTCATTTGAAAATTAATTGATGAATTTATATTTTTAGCTATTTCGTTAAGTAAAAAACCCTTATTTGAGTTACAATTATGTAACATGGTGATTTTAAAAAAGATACTATTTTCAGACTGTCCACCCGGATGTCGTGGTTGTGTTGTAAGACTACGACATCCGGTTTAGTAGGGGACAATTTTTTTTATCCACCAGTACCATCCCACCTGTATATTAATCATTATTCTTTTATATATATATATGTCTTCAATTTTAGAAAAGTTTGTAAACTAGTCTTAGGATGCTGTGACTTACATTTGGCATTTTTAGTCGACCGTTGGTTTGGCACTCATTTACAATGATCCCTTAGGGCGCTTTCAATTTATGCGTTTCTTGACGGCCTGCTGTCGAGCGTTCGCGGTACCGTCGCCGCACTGTTGCCGCATCGCGCGTTTTGTGTGAAAATAAAAAGAATCGTCCATACTCTGTACGACAAACGCACCGCTCCGGCACCGCAGCAGGCCGTCAAGAAACGCATAAATTGAAAGCGCCCTTAGCACGAACCAATATCGAATTCGTATAGTTCATATTTAATTTTGATACGCGTCAAATATCAAGGTTTTGTTTATGGAAAATTTTAAATTCTCGTTACGTCCGTTGTGGCGCTGTTCATATTTCCATTCAAAATTTCTGTACCCCTTACACGAACCAATATCGAATTCAATATTGATACTGAATATATTTTATTGCTTTTCAACTACATGGATCTAACAAATATTTCGCCAGTAACAGATTCTATATTTCTATATTGGAATATAATTTTATTTTTCTGATTTCTCACCCAGACACCACGGTATAATTATACGTTGTCACTTTTAAACCTATTTCATACTGACTAGATAACCAACCACACATGTATGTTACATGTACCCTTATAACAAATTGACACCAAACAATATTATTGATTCATTGTAAAAAAAAAATAGGTATAAATAAATATCAACTACAGTAGTTAAAACAACACAATAACATTAAAACTACTTAACTTTACAAAAATGAATTATATAATTAATAAAACTTCTATTTCTTTAAATAAATATTATGTACCATAATACTGATATAAACAGTCGATAAAATCCACAAAACAGACTAAATATTAATATGGACATTCCTTAATTAAAGTGTAAGTAGCTATGTTTGGCACTGTTAACCAGCCTATTTGTGATTAAGGTACGTTTAACTTAAATAAAAGGTCACTAATTTCACTACTTTAGCGCGATTCAAACTTCAAGGCGGCTGTAAACTTAGCAGCGAGCTAAACTTTGCGTTCAGTGACATTTCGCGCGCATCGACATCATTCTACATATTGTTTACTGCGCCTCAACTTGCGATAACTTCGCAGACACCATTAAGTTTTAAACGCACAATAGCTATAGGTTATGACAGCTCTAGACGGAAGCCCTCTCGACGAAGTCAACGGCGATGGAGGATATTCGTAGATTGCTTGTTGTAGACTCAGTACATTTATCTATGTGTGTGGGTATAACAGATCTAGACAGACGCCCTCGCACTGCTTGTTGTAGACTCGGTCCATTATCTATCTGTATGGTTATATAGATTTAGACAGACGCCCTCTCGATGAGGTCAGCAGCTAGAGAGGATCGTGCCCGCAGTGTGGGCCGCGAAGTTGCCGGCAGTAACCCGCCCTCACACTGCTTGTTGCCCAAACAGTTACACGAACACACCTACAATGAAGAAATAATATGCTTGATGCCCGAACACATTGTGTATCTTTAAATACTATATAATAAATAATTTTTTGAGTAAATGTGGGCCGATCCCGGCGGCACTGCAATGCCGGGCCGACCCGTGAAGGGAGTGGAGCGAGCCCCGAACATCCCGTCGAGTTACAAAAATCAGTTTAATATACTGGTCCCTCAGTGAGGGAACTTTCAGATATTAAGCTGAAAAGAACAGATACTACACTTTGATCTTAGCCAAAAGGCCGAGAAGCGATACCGAAACAGAAAACACCCAACGGGGTCATGAAATCAGAAACAATCTCAACATCGCCGACTACAAAATAATATCACCAACTTAGTGATGACATCTAGCGAGCGCAAATGGAACTTTGTTGTGATACTTTACCGAGGCTTGGTCGTCGTGCGATCGTTGTCGACTGGTGATTACGTGCCCGTCTATAGGCAGCAATGTCCTCGAACCCTCTTTTTCTTCATCTCGTGCATTTTCTTCAGCTTGCCTGTTGGCAAACAAAGTTTCACCTTCATTTTATCATTTAACCTCAAATCGCTTCATTTGATTTCTATTTACAAAATGGAAGTGTTCGTTATTAAATAACATAACGTTATTAAAATATACTCATTACACTTATACAAATTTATGACGATTTCACTTATAGAATAAATTAAGTTGATATTTGAAACTAAAATATGTAGTCGATGATAGCGCCATCTATTATAGTAGCTAGCACCTAAGGTCACTAGTAACAGCTAACAAGCTTCGTATGAAATGTGTACTTTAAATAACAATTATTTTATGCCAACAACAGTGAAGATATCATAAAGTATACACTTATAATTTGATTTATTTTTGTTGAATTCTGTAGCCTAACTGTATCATAACAAGGCCTAAAATTCTCTCACTTTCAATTTAATGAATTTCATCCATGAACTCCACTATGATTGAGCTTACAATACTTTACTTTTAATACATAATATTGTATAATTATCAAGTGTTAGTACTTTGGATATGTTATATTATAAATCATTTTAAATACATATTAGTATTTAATATATAATTTATTAATAATAGTACAATGTGACGTGTTAGTTATTCTATCGCTATCACAAATATTGAAACGGCACACAGGACCAATTTTGAAACATAACAAATGGACTTCATTGAGTTCCTAAGACCTGAAATAATTAATTAAATGCGTTTAACTTACATAGTCATGAAACGCAGTACTAGTAAATTGATACTAGCAGCCACCACTGCCAGTCCAAACAGAATGAACACAAGACTGAGAGCCACGTAGCCAGGTTTACTTGTTAAAGCTTGATCATTCTGCAAAATAAATTTAATAACTTACTATCATCAGTAATTCCCTACAGATGGAATGAGAAGATCGGGCCCACCACCATAGAACAACACGACCGACGCGGCCAGGTGGGGAGTAGGCACACACAGCTTTCCCCCTGTCGAGTTGGGCATCATTATCATCATCAGCCTATTAATGCCCTCAATGCTGGCTGGGGCAGAGGCCTTCCCTATGGATGGAATAGGTAATTTGGGCCTTGACCCATCACGCAGGCCCTATGCGGAAATGCTAACGACTGCAGATGCAGCTGGGCATAGTTGCATGAGTTGGGCATACAAACGATAAATGTTTTTAAAAGAGAGGTAGGGCATAGCAGATTTTCAGCTTGAATTGGAGCGCCCGTCTGGGAAAGTAATCTAACTATAAAATCTAATCACAATAAAATAACACTAACCATTGGTGGTGTTGAGTTTTGTCGGTGTGGTGTTTTTGTCGGTTCCAGGATTTCAAATCGGTATTGGGTCACGATAGGCAACGGCGAGAGTAATATTTTTGTAGCGCAAGCGTCTATAAGCTATGGTGGCTGCTTACCATCAGGCGGACCACATGCTTATTGCCACCCTTATAACATAAAAAAAAACATTGTTTAGGATTCGGCAATGTATTGCGTTTTATAAGTGTGTACGTAGATTAAACTGCGTTTGTGGGCATATTACCCCCAGGCCTTAGCATACAGTTTTTTTCCGATACCAGTATCATTTGGTTATGACAACATACTGGCTCGAATACACGGTCGTTAGCCCGTATTCGTGTGCACGAAAGACGTTACGCGAATTAGGGCACCCGAAGCGATATTTACACTGCAATACGAGCTGGAACACGGTGTCGAGTAACCAAAAAGAAAACTACCCGAATACTGGTGTACTCGACTACGTTAATTTACACTTATGGCACAATTACACTTGGTCGTTAGCCGGTATTCGGGCACACGAAAGATATTACTCTAATTCGGGCACCTAAAGCAATTTTCACATTGGAATACGGGCTGGAAGACGGTCTCCAACCAAAACGAATGATGCCGAATACGAGCGTATTCATTTACCCGAATTCCATTGGCACTCATATTCGGGCTGGCGACCAAGTGTAATCGCGCCATTAGTCGTTTACCCGAATTCCATTGACAATCGTATTCGGGCTAACGACTAAGTGTAATTGAGCCATACCGGTAATAATTTTATACAGGTAAAAAAACACCGGTATTTTTTTGGATACCGGTACCGGATTCCTTATCTTAGGTGATCTTAATACCTTATAAAATTATAATAAATATATAAACCGCTAATGTTTACAGTGTGCTGTATTATATAATATATATACTGTATTATAACAGCTTAACGAATCACGGAGAAGCTTCAGAATAAAGTCACCAAACCATTGACTTGGCATTGCGAATCGTTTGTTTTCCAAATTGCAGACGAAACGTGCTGACCACTGAGCCATCTTTAGATCTTTATTATTATGCTTTAAGATTTTTATATGGCTACCATGCCCAAAGGATGATAAACGGGACCACTATTAATATGCCTCTCTGCTGCTTGTCTCCCTCAGGCTTCTACCTAATGAATAATTGGTATACAATAGAAAATAGACACCTACCACTACTTGTTCTACAAAAAATTGTCGACATTAAATAAGTTAACTTACTTGCAAAGCGACGTAATCTCCAAAGCCAATCGTAGTTAGTGTCACAAAACAATAATAAAAACTGTCAAAGTAGCTCCAACCTTCGTATCTCGAAAAAACTGCAGCTCCTGTGGAAAAAATGAAGTTAATGAATACCTACCTACACATAGTTCAAATGGACTATTTATAATGCTTGTGAATCACTTTTATCACTGCAGGAACACTAAATAACTAGCCTGGTTGATAACCAGAGATGTGACATTTAAAATATTAAGGTATTTGAAATTCAAAATAGAAAATACCTATTTACATTTTGTAATTAAATACTTTTTTTAGAAAAGCATTTTCTATTTTATTTCAAACAGTTTTAAGGAAATATTTTGTATTTGCAAAATGCTAAATACTTTTTAACCGACTTTAGAAGGAGGAGGTTTTAAAATTCTCAATTCGGAATGTATACTTTTTTTTATGAATATACACCGATCACGCTAATATTTCTGATCCGATTTGCGTATTTTTTTGTCCAATACAGAATAGTTGCCATTTAGTCCCATACAAATTTAATTCGGTTTGGCGTAGAAGTTTTTATTTTATGGGCGTTTTTGTAAACTTGGGTGTAATTATTCCTATAATTTATTTAGATGTACACCGAATACGTAAAGATTTCTAGTCTGGATTGGAGATACTTGCCATTTAGTTACATAAAAAATAATTAAATCTAAAGGAAATGTTAACAAGGCAAAATTCTACGCGGACTCGGCACCAGACTAACGCAATGATTATGCTACCGCGGCCCTGATGCCCGTGCCGAATTCCCTCTAGCCCTTCTTAAGCTGCAAGGCAGCGCAATCTTTTCGCGTTGTAGGCAACACACAAATTTTATAGTTAACATTTAGACATCTAGCAGTTAAATGTTTAAAAAATAAAAATATAACTAAAACAATTAAGTTTCACCCAGTTGTTTTTATATTATGAGCACTTTTGCTACATAAACGATGTAATTTTCACGACATTTTGTGGTTTGGCTTTGTTTTCGGGCTGTTACGATAAATAAATACCAATAAAATAAACACAATTTAAAAACTACAGGTTAATTTTAATCAAGTATTTCGGAAATACGTATTTTGTATTTTAAATATAAAATGAAAAACTATTTTTTATTTGAAATAAAAAATATAAAGTATTTACATTTTGTTTTTAAATACTTTTTATAATGTATTTTGCACATCTCTGCTGATGCCAAAAATTTGGCTGTAACCTATATTACTCTTCAGAAGTAAAAAACTTTTCATTTTGAAATTAGTTAGCATCATTCAAGATGAAAACAAACAAAAAAACCTTTTTTTTGTATATTGATTGCATGCTTGAATCTACCAAACCCAATTAAATTATACTTATAAAATTTTATAATGTATTAATAATAAGTTTATTACTAACGTATATTAGTTGTGTACCTGTACAATACATAAAGACTAAGTTATAAGAAGATTAATGTTAAAGAACCAAATGTGTCACTTATTTTTCAAATAGAGAGTTCGAGTTTGAACCTGTGGTGATGATTATAGATGAGAGCATCCCGGTGGCGAACATGAGATTCATCTCAGTGGCCTCGGTGGTGTTGCAGCGCAGATAACACTTAGCGCGGCGGATCACCACCGACGCGAACTTGTTCAAACGCTCTCCTATACTCTGGAACATTACTAGCCCGAGTGGTATGCCTACCTGTAATCAGAATACCTGATCAATGAGGGCTCGATGAGTACCTATGACCACAGAACACAGAAAGAGGTTAGAAGGATGAACATAGACCCACAGTTAAGCTTGCCAGGTGTTTGGCTTTTTGCGGTCGCGTCCGGTCAAATATGTACGTGTTTGGCCTGTCCGGCTTTTGTCAGGCTTTTTGTCAGAGTGGCGATTCGTACGACGATGGCCGAACGAACGTCTGAGCGGACAAGAGTTATGTTTGACAATAAAAAAAATAAAACATTGTTTGGCAAAAAAAAAATATGTCCGGCTTTTAGGGCAAAATGTCAGGCCTTATATAGTGCGCAGTCCGGCCATTTTATGGCCTGGCAACCCTACCCACAGTGCGGGAACCTTGCCCCCACTACACTTCCACCAACCAAACGACGCGACATCAAACAATCGCACCCATCAGCTCTCACACCCGAGAGCAAAGACGCAATCAGAACCAAGTCTGGCGTACATACCACTCAGCCACGGAGGTCGACAGATGCTATGCTAAAGAGCACAAAAAATATTGAAATGTAGAGAGTATCAATAAACGCTACAATAATACCATTTATGGACTGCTGGGGTACCTGAAGAATTAGAGAAACTTAGATGATAGGGTTGATGCCATTCCTTATGTCAAATTAAAAGAATTAAATATTTTTGTAATATTAATTCTAAGCTAGGCAAATAATTTGTAGCTATATCAAAATATCCTTATGTCAAATTAAAAGAATTAAATATTTTTGTAATATTAATTCTAAGCTAGGCAAATAATTTGTAGCTATATCAAAATATAGTTAAATTGGTACTCACAACTGCATAAGCCATACAAAATGCTTTCCCTCCAACAGTTACCGGAGTTGAGTGTCCATATCCAATCATGGCCAACACTACTGTAGCAAAATAGAACGCCCCAGCAAACTTCCACTGAGGGCCCGCCTTGTGAGGTTTGTTCTCAATTATGACAATCTCTATCATATGGTAGTCTTCTGGTGTAATGTTATATTTTCTCACTAAGCCATTTTTCATGTCTATATAAAAATAAAAGAAATCCAAATATAACTAAATTTGGAATAAGCATAACTTACAAATACAAAGAAAATTTTACTAGAAAAAAATCCGCTCAGTCCAGGCATCATACAGGATTTGAACCTGCACCTTCCTCTTAACCCGGCGGACTAGCTAAACTAATATTTTTACATTTTATTTGATTTGTATTCAATATTTACACACTTCACTTCTTTAATTTTTGATGTGAAAGAATAAAAACATAGGCAGCATATACTTGCAGCCAGTGATCCTACTTCCTACTAATATTATAAATGTAAAAGTTTGTGTGTTTGTCAAACAAAAACACAATCAACTCAATCAGTAAAAACTACTAAACTGATTTGGATGAAATTTGGTATGCATAAAGTATATGACCCGGATTGAAATGTAGGATATATTTTATCCCAGAAAAATGTTTGGTTCCTGAGGGATTTTCAAAGTCTGTGCCACCAGACAAGGGCGGATCCAGCTTTGGCGCCAGGGGTGGGTCATATAGCCAGCTTTGGCGCCAGGGGGGGGGGGGGGGGAGGTCATATAGTCGTGGTATATTAAATATTGAAAGTACTTAAATGGTGGTCCATCTGTACCCCCCCCTGGATCCGCCCTTGCCACTAGATTTTTGCGTTAAATGGATGGCTTTTCTAGTAACAAAAAAACATATGTTTAATTTGATTTTTTTAATGCTCCTAGTTGAATCTGTAATGAATTATCTGTCTCATGTCTCATTTTATAAGTAAAATAATTCTATAAAAGGCAGACTCCACAAAAAGCAGAAGTAGTATATACTTTACCTGACAAAACTTCCCATCTTTTGCTTTCTGTTTCTGATTCCAGAGCATCAAACACAGCTGCACCAATTAATAAGTATGTAAATGTGCATACGACGAGAGACAGTGTGCGAACATTTTGCCGTTTCATCTTCATTGATTAAACTTTATGTTTGTTTTTAATGAAAACGTGAATGTTCACTTGATCTCTGAGGTCGAAATTAATAAATATTTTTGTTATAATATTAAGTAGTCATCAATTGAATGAATACTGTTTCACAAATTGCAATAACTAAAGAATTTATATTATTACCGCACTATTTATATGATCTGAGCTGCACAAAGATCGATAAAGTAAAATGTTTTTCTATTTACTTTCATTGAAATTTTGAGTTTCTTCATTTTCCAAAAAGAATTTCCATGTAAGATTATCTGGAAATGAATACTCGCACATATTCTTTACTTAGTAATTTTGATAAATAAGGAGATTTCCAAACAAATATTTTATTGATTTTTAAAAATTTAAATTTGGTGTCTTGTTTTGGTTCGTGAAAATTGACAGATAAATATAATGTTGCCAGTTTCAAAATAATATGTTGTGTCGATTCTGGCATGATTCTCTTTTAAACTTAATTTCACATCAGTCTTCTGTCGGTATAAAGAATGACAACGATACATTGGTATCGATTCTGACACGATTCTCTAAACTTAAAACTAAATTTAACATCAGTCTCTCCTTTTCATTCTGTATGGAGAATGACAAGGATACACTGTTGTCAAATTTACGTTTAGGTTTACAAAATCATGCCAGAATCGACACCATTGTTCGAATTTAAGTCAAGTTTAAGTTTAGATTTAGAGAATCATATCAGAATCGACACTATTGTTATTTTAATACTTTGCAGTGGCAGGTTTAGTGACGATTTTGTTTCACACAGTAAAAGTAAAAGCTACATTTATAAACGTTCAATTGCATTGTCAATGTGACGTTGCTGCCAACATGTAACTGTCACTTTATTAGATGTCACAGGTCTCCAGTGTTGCTAGCTTAACAGATTTACCGTCAGATGTAAAGAATTTAGATGAGATATCATGCAAAATATTTTATCTACACTTAAGTCGAAATATAATAATTAAAATTAAAAATTATTACAGTGCTAGCTGTATCATAAAATAACTTTTTAATCATTACAGTACACTTTTTTTTTATATTTAATCTATTAGGCCAAATTTATGATATTAGAATAAACAGACTCTCGTTTTTAATACCCTGCTTAAATAAAAGTCTATGCGACTGTAATTAACTACGATTTTAACTTTTTAAGGAATGTTGGTAAAAATAATTGTACCTAAGTAAAATATTGTAAATATTATTTTATCCAAAAGTTCTTAACATCCACCATAACCAAGACAGTACTACAATGGTGGACGCGATTGCTTTTAATAATATACTATTTTATAGAATAATACATTTTCTTTACAGAAAAAATAGATTTTGAAATATTTTTTTTTTGTGAAAGGCTGAAGCTTAGTGAATTTTTAAAATTATTGTTGGCAACACTGCTAGTCTCGATCGCACACCAAGTCGGCAAGCAGATTTTCAGTAAAATAATTCTATAGATAATTATTTTACTAATCTAAGTCAGAATTCTTAAATATAATCACTATGAAGATCGTCTGCAATAAATCGAACCCACCTTTGGGTAATTTATTTATTGTCTTTCAGGTTAGATTACACCATATTTAGTACAGGTCTGAAAATAGAATTATTTTTATATTTTCAGGTGGTTTACTTGCAGTCGAACATTATAGATCACTGGGCAAAATTATAGAACTGACTTGGGGAAACGAAGCTGCAGTTACCTTGCCGGAAGGTTCAAAGAAAGTGCCTTATGGGACAAGCAATGATTTGATAAGAATTCTCGAGAATGCATTCAATAAATCGTCTCAGCCTCTTCAGAAAGTTACAATGAACCATTGGTTGTCATTCAGTCTAGTTCTAAATGATGAAATACCCAACTCCATTGAATATTTTGATAAAACTTTGGGGCCACTTACTTATTTAGTAGGAGAATCGCTATCAGTTTCGGATTTGGCCGTTTTCGCGGTTTTACATGGTAAATATAACATGAATAATATATACTACATTATTATTTGCTTTTGACGTTAAGTTCAACATTTTTGTATTTAGTTTCTAGCAAATTTAAGGAGGCTATTAAAAAGAATCAACCAAAAAATGTATTGCGCTGGTTGAAATTAATTCAAGCACAACCATCTGTAGCTAAGACTCTAAAAGAACTTCCTGCTGAAGTATTAGAGAAGCTCAATTCAAGCTCATCCAGGTCAGTTATTTTGTTTGAACCATTGAACAAAATCATTTAAATGTTAGTTATAATCCCTTACATTTACTTGTTTTGTAAATGATGAAGTTAAAATGTTTTGTAGGAATTCACCATCTAAAAACACTGAGTCTGCATCTGGTCGGCAACAAGAAGGAAAGTTTGTGGAGTTACCTCATGCTGAGATTGGCAAAGTTGTTGTGCGTTTTCCACCTGAAGCTTCTGGGTATGTCTTGTTTTCTATGGAATTTAGCCACTTTTATGTATTAAAGACACTTGAAAGAGTGTAAAAATTTCTCTTGAACAACAATTTTTCTGGAGAAATTTCTTTGCAAAATGTATCTTAGACACAAACCCAGGAGAGGAGATATTTGTTTTAATGTCCTAAAATATAGTCTATATCACACTGGAATAATGTAGATTTATATGGTTAAAATTTTTTTTTCAAATGAAGAATCATAGGATTTGAACAAACTACAAATCTTTGATATTAGTAAAGATTTTAAATTTAAAGGAAAAGAAAATTTTTATTAAAGAAAAGTTCTTAAGATTTAGTCTTCAAATCACGATGATTTTGAAGCATAATTTGCACTATTGAAACTATTGTCTGAAAACAATAAACTTTTTGAAGTAAAGTTTTATGACTGATAATATAATTTCATACCATTTTCATTTTCAGATATCTCCACATTGGTCATGCTAAAGCAGCTCTTTTGAATCAATACTATCAGCAAGCTTTCCAAGGGAAACTCATCATGAGATTTGATGACACTAACCCTGCCAAGGAAAATGCTGATTTTGAGAAGGTACATGTTCATGTTATGTTTATGAATCTTAAAACGTAAATTGAAATAAGGTATTTGACAAGTTTTAGAAAACAATCTCACATTATTTACTGATATTTATGGAGTCCATAAATAGTGTATATTTATAATTCTCTTATGTATTTCAGTAAATAATCTAAATTAAAAATTAAATTTTCAAGTTGCCACGAAAACGTCTCTGGTCATTATGGAGTCTCACTAGTATGTGACTCCACATAAATGTCACAAAAACGTTAAAGATACAATGCGATGTCACTTTGACTGGAAGTTTACTAGCGTGTGACATCATTTTAGTCTTTGCCAATACTCGGTGTTTTCACTGTCAGTCCATAGAACAAAATATCATTTCTATTTAACATTTTTTTAGAAAAGTTATTAATTATTTGTTATCTCAGAATAGTAATTCTACTGCTTATATTCATATTGAATACAGAACATGCTAACATTTGGTACTTTATTTTCATAATGTCAAATAGCCTATTGTCTTAGTTGTAAAATTCTGTAGTAATTTAGCTAATGAATCATAAATTTGTATATTTTACATATTCTTTTTGTATCAAACTATAGGTCATATTGGAAGATGTTGAAATGCTCGAAATAAAACCAGATTTATTCACACATACATCTCAGTACTTTGACCTGATGCTGCAGTATTGTGAGAAACTTATTAAGGAAGGCAAAGCTTTTGTGGACGACACTCCGGCTGACCAAATGAAGGCAGAGCGAGAACAGAGGATAGATAGCAAGAACAAGAGCAATTGTGAGTCAGAATCATTATCATGATGTGATAATCACCAGCTTATTAATTTCCCTAGTGCGGATTGGTGGGTGCTAACGACAGACTATAGCAGATGCAGCCGGGACCAACAGCTTTCGTGCCTTCCGTAGTACCAAGGAGTTCAAGATAATAAGTTTTGGTCACCCATCCAATGATCGACCATTGCGAAAGTTGCTTGACTTCCACGATCGCAGGCCGACAGCGCGACCTGTGTCTTATATGCATTATTTGAGAACAAATTTGATTACTATAGAGTGAGTCAGAATATCAACTTAATTATCATCAAACTTTCAGTTGTACGCAGGACATCTTCCTCCGAGCTGGATGATGGTAGATTTGGGGCCGCGACCCGACTAATGTTGGTCGGGCATTGCATATATAAAGTGTTTGCGTCCAAATTTCCCTTGCGCGATGTAGGCTTCTATACTTTAATTCCTCCATGTTGGTAATATGTGAGGCTTGTAAATGTCGCCGCCACACAATATTACCACTTCAATGATAAAGGGCTTCACTAAAGATAGAAAAAAGGAGAATGGGCTTTGTGCAGCTCAGTGGGTGCTAACACTGCATTCCCTTTCGTGGCTCTCTCACTACGGGACATTAGCGAAGTTTTTGTGTAAAACGAAAGCAGCGACAGGTAAAAAAAAAGTAAGCGGTGGTTAGTTCCAATTTTCACCACATTCATAAAGATTCTTTTCGCACTATAAATAGTTTTTCCCTTTAACTCGCAGCTGTGGAGAAGAACCTGCAGCTTTGGGAGGAGATGAAGCGTGGTAGTAGTAAAGGAGTACAGTGTTGCGTACGCGCCGTCATAGACATGCAGTCCACCAACGGCTGCCTGCGAGACCCCACCATATATAGGTGCAAGCCTGAGGAACATCCCCGCACGGGCAACAAATACAAGTATGTTTTTTGATGTGTAACATCTTTCCTCTCGCTTTCCTGAAATTTGTTGGAGTGATTTCGTGAAATGGGACGGAAGTGTGTAACAGGAAGTCGGGAAAGCGCGCGCTTATTGATATGATTTTAGAACATAATGTTCAAATGGCTTCCTTATTCCTTTTGTAGTAGGTTTTATTTCTTTTTTTACTAATATAAGGCGAGGTTTTAAATGTATGAAGTATGAAACGCGACTACTGTAAGGCTCGCTCGTATTTTTTTTTATAACGAACTAGTCAAATGACTCTACCCCACCTGATGTTAAGTGGTGATAAAGTCTAAACGCGAAGATAGCTGGTACAGCAGTTTTAAACTGCCATACCAACCATCCTCACCTTGCCGGCCTGCAAAATGCTTCATCACACCTCTCTTAAAAGATCCCAGATTGTAGAAAGGAGACAACATGTGCTCTGGCAAAGAATTCCACTTACGAATAGATTTGTCCTGCAAAGGAGATGGCCAATCCTCCATACGTTGTTGCCATATTTCACGTTATTAAGAAATTTAAATATTTTTAGATTTAAACATCCAGCAGGTAAATGCTTAAAAATAAAATATATATTCTTAGATTTTTAATTAAAAATTATTTTCCACAATTGTTATTAGAATACTTGGTTTTAAAAGATATTTTCCCGTTTTGGTTTGTTGCAATATTATATTGTAAATTATGAATCTCGCTGCCCTTAATATTAATGTAGTACTACTTATAATATTAAATTAACCACAACCTTTATTGTATTACTAAATTACAATTAATAGATAAATATTCAAAGTCTGATTGAAACAAATGTCATTTCTAATGTGCGTATAATAATCAAATGTTTTATTTTAGTCCTTATATCCAGTATTGGTAAAATATAGTATTGTTATTTTATAATATGGATAAAAATGCACTCAGAAATACTTTTTAGTTTTTTTCAAATTACTTTCGATGGATTGTTCATTGTGAATATTTTTATCTCATTATAAATTCCTTTCCAGTAACAATAAAGTTTGTTTTATTTATACATTGATAGGAACACTGTATTCATATTAAACGGGAATGGGCGTTAATTCTGCAACACAGTTTTTGTAAAACTATAGCAGATTTAACATTTCATAATTTTATGTAAATTGCAGTTGTTCCAAATAAAGTTATAATTATTATTTTGTTTCGTAGGGTTTACCCGACGTACGACTTTGCATGCCCGATCGTAGATTCAATTGAGGGAGTGACACACGTACTACGTACAATGGAGTACCACGACAGAGATCCACAGTTCTACTGGTTTATAGACGCGTTAGGTTTGAGGAAACCATACATTTGGGAATACAGCAGGTAGGTCACATTTATTGCTACCACGGTATACAAATAATATGACTCATATATGAAAGTAGTATGATAAGACCTTTTAAGTGCTAGATTTTTTATCTGACCGAAATGTTCAAATGCATTTGCAGCCCAATGGGAGCTCGTGCATATTCGGTGTTTGCGTATTTTTTGGTTAATGGCGCTAAATAACGAAAAACCACAGATTAGCGAGCTGATGACCCAGAATTTTTAATTAAGATAGATATATAGATAACACTACATCGTGCACAGCACATTAATTATTACACACTAGCATACATTAAAATTGTGAACAATTGGCGGTCTTACCGCTATATAGCCATTTCGTCCAGACAACAAACGTACTTATTCAAATTTTTTGTATATAAAAAGTACTGTAACGTTCATATTTATGTAAATAAGACCACAACTTGAATTATACGATACTTAGATTTTTTTTAATTTCAATTAAGGTTAGGTTAATTTCATAGCATTCATATAATTAGTTTTAATCAAATATTTTGTTACAGACTTAGTATGACAAACACGGTACTATCAAAGAGAAAGCTGACTTGGTTTGTCGAGCAGGGATTGGTGGATGGATGGTAAGAACTTTTATTTTTCAAGATGATCAGTCTAACCTTGACTCTTTTTGCGATGCTTTTAAGAGCTTAGGAAAATTGTTGCCAATATTACATTTGCTTTTTTTCAATTTGACAACAGGCTGTCCTGATCATACTCTATAGGGAGTAAAAAGGAGAGACTGTTGCTTATATTATAAATAGCAAATACGAATAGCCATGTGATGTGGCGACATGACACAAATATGACCAATTTCTTGACAGTTGGTCAGGGAACTCTTAAGTCCATTATCTATGGTTACAGCGTTGTTAAACTTTAGGCGAATGCAGGACATTTCAATATTTAGTCGCCGCGCACATATTAGTGGAGAAAAAAATCTCTTCTCTATAAAGTGAAGATGGTAGGAGGGCGGACTCGCAATTTTCTGGACATTGAACAAACTGTGCATATTAAGTTATTAGTTTAAATTTTTGTATTAAAAGTTAAGATATTTTCATTTAATTTCGCTGAAATACAATCCGGAAATGGTTATCAAACCACCCAGATGCCATAATTTGGCCGTCTACAATAATTGTGGTCGCTATTCAATTCAATTTATTCATTTATTTGCATCACAAATTAATACAATTAGTAATAAGCCGACATAAATGATAAGTTTAAACAGTTCTTAAGTAACTAGTATGAACTACAGTCATTAGTGAGTGACAGTGATGCAAATAGGCAGTAGCTCAGCAGTGTAGGCACAGCACTAGGGGCGCTGTCATCGCGCAGACAGTAAATATATAATGTGTGTCGGATAGGGACGACCCGCGCATGCCGACGGTCCGCGGCGTGATGCGGCGCGGCATGACCGTCGAGGGGCTGCGACAGTTCATACAGGCGCAGGGCTCCAGTCGCTCCGTCGTCTTCATGGAGTGGGACAAGATATGGGCCATCAACAAGAAGGTAAATCTCACTGTTTGGTCACATGGCACATTTTGTATATATGTATGTACTAGCGGCCGCCCGCGACTTCGTACGCCTGGAGTTCGTAAGAAATAAAGGTTCACTGCTCGTTCCTCGTAGGTAGGTAGGATAGCGTGATAATATGTAGCTTATATGTTGATCCGACTTCTTAATAATATTCGCGCTAAATTTAAAGTAAATCCATGCAGTACTTTTTGGGTTTATCCTGGACATACATACAGACAAACAGACAAAAATTCTAAAAATATATTTTTGGCTTCGGTATCGATTGTAGATCACACCCCAAGTATTCTTTTAAAAAAATATTAAATGTACAGTTTTGACTTTCCTGCCATTTTATTATATGTATAGATAAAAATGGTACAGTGGTGCATTTCCGTGTGAATCCATGCTTACAACAATCCTTAATTGTTGATATTTTATTTATTTATTTCTTAACAATTTACATTATCCCAAAGAACTAATTAAATTTCTTTCAATGATGTGAGTTATGTTTTTATCAATTACATATTGCACCTTGAACTTTGCCAACTCCGCAAGGATAAACTAGCAAAGTAACACAACAACCTAAAGGACTTTATATAGAATCAATACGACAAACGACTTTACCCCATCACCAGGTCATCGACCCAGTGGCGCCACGTTACACAGCGTTAGAAACGAACCAACCAGTGCCTGTCAACTTGAAGGGAGTGACTTCAGACAGCCAACTGTCAGTTCCACTCCATCCGAAGAATCCTTCCGTAGGCACGAAGATAGTGTGGGTGTCTCCGCGACTGCTGATCGACCAGGCCGACGCTCAGACCCTGAAGGAGGGAGAGAACGCCACCTTCATCAACTACGGGAACGTCATGATCGACAAGATACACAAGTAAGTGTAATGTCTTCGAAGAGCGGCTAACAAGGATATGGCCCACCAGATGATGAAAACCCCTACAATAGCGTTTCCTCCCCACCTAGCTTGAGCACCGCGATATGATATATAGCTGGTTTTTATCACGCTCACTTGTCAAATTACTATAGACTTTGTCAGTTAGACGCGATAAAAAACGTGATACAATATAAATTATTGTGGTGGTCATGCTACAGGGACTGGTTCCTTAAACTCACTCTGGCTGTATGGTTGATGAGATTCTCCGCTCGCTTCCCCAATGAGTTCTCGCCTACTAGATCATGGAAGCTAAAGATATAAAGGTAGTATAATATTTTACTTTACTGCGATAGTTTTATTATTAAAGTTGCAATTCAAACAGAAAAGGCGCTTTGCTCTCCCTTTTTTAAATTACAAGCTTGACTTGAGATAAAGTAATAAAAATTGCCATCAACTTCCAAGTATTGAATAAAATAGCTATTTTTTTGTCGCCTATAGCGATTTATTGAAATTGTTCGGATCCGAAGCGCCATCATCATATTTGTTTCGTACGCTATCCAGCATAGGTTAGAAACAAATGAGATGAAATTATAATAGTATTTTAAATTTCCCTTCAGATCTGCAGACGGCACTGTCTCAAGTATAGACGGCACACCAAACTTGGAAAACAAAGATTATAAGAAAACGCTCAAACTCACGTGGTTAGCGGACACTGCGCATGCGCCGCCCGTACAAACCTACTGCGTATACTTCGACCACATCATCAACAAGGCTATTCTGGGCAAGGACGAGGATTTCAAACAGTACATCGGGCATCAAACTAGAGTGAGTTGATAAGAAACTTGTTGCTAAACTAATAGTAAATTTTTTTTCACGTAATAAGATGGTAGCCGTAGTTAGATTTTTGTTCTGTATACTTCGACCACGTCATCTTCAAGGCAATACTGGGGGGCAAGGCAATCAGTACATCGGGTATCAAACTAGGGTGAGTTGATAAGAAACTTGTTGTAAACTATTTGTAAGAATTGTCGCACACGATAAATAGGGAAGTAGCCGTAGTTACATGTTTACTGTGTATACTTCGACCACATCATCTCCAAGGTGATACTGAGCAAGGAGTTGATAAGAAACCTGCAAAACAAGCGTCAGCGCACACCAGGAGCAGAGCAGAGCATTTTTTGAGGCTGGTGAATAAAATGGTTGTCTGTTAAGTTGGTTTGCGGATGATAATTATTGTACGTGATACCGTGTCGTTCGCTATTTTCCTCGGGACAGTTTTGTAGGGCTTTTTGTTCCGATTCCTTTGAGGTCAAGTAAGCCTTTGTAGCTCTATGGGGGCCGGAGTTAGGGGTGCCTAACTAAGGCAGTCCTCACGGTGGTGAGGACTGTACGATGGGAAGGGGGAATTAGAGGGTATGGGGTTAGGGGTGTCAGCGAGGGGTCAGGGAGGTCAGGGGGGGTCAAAGGAACACCTCGACCTCACCTTACACACATCGCGGAACGTTGAACTAACTCGTATCACGTTATCATAACGTGGCATGAGGTCGTACTTTTTCATTCGTGACTTCTTCTTCTTCTTCTAGTGCCCCTCAGAACAGCGAAGGTTGGCATTTAGTTTAGCATACGTCTCCTTATCCTTAGCGAGATGAAATAATTCAGCGGCGCTCGACATACCAGTCCATTCTCGTAGGTTCCTCAACCAAGACTTCTTCCTGCGACCGATGTTTCGTTTTCCAGCAACTTTGCCCATCATTATTAATTGTAAAAGGGCGTACATTTCGTGTCCTATCACGTGCCCTAGATACGCAACTTTACCTACTCTGATGGTATACCAAAGTTTGCGTTTCTTGCCACAGTGTCTCGTGCGTGACTGCTGTACTGATATTGACTAAAAACGGAATTATAAATAAACTAGCAAACCAGTGAACCAAATGTTCACCAAAAAATAATGTATTTAATTAATTGAGAACTTCGGAAATTTTGTGTGGTTTCGTTTGAAATAGAAATCACGTGATTTCTCGAAAACCGGAAGTGCTACGTTACTCACATCCGGTTTGTAGTCTTATCAGACTATTCTTAACTTATAACTTAAACATTCTCTATATCTATCTCTTACGGTTTGGCCGCTGAAACAGCACCACGGACGGACGGACGGACTTGTCTAATAGATAAGAGATATTTCCAACACTCACACCAATTAGCCTAGCCCCAAAGTAAGCACTAACCGGCTTGTGTTATGGGATACTAGGGTAACGGATGGAATACATATACTGTACATATATAAGTATATTTATATAGAAATACATATGAAACATCCATGACTGGAGTATAAATGCTCGTATTCATCACACAAACATCTGTCCCCACCGGGATTCGAACCCGGGACCTCTCGAGTCGGCGACGCCATGAAACCCGGCGTACAAACCACTCGGCCACGGAGGTCGTCAAATACAAATCTGTATGCAAAATACAACATCTGTAGCTCTATGGGCCTCTATATATGTATAACTCGGGTCGAGTTAGGCTCCGCTCTATAAGGGGCGCGGGGGATACGTGATCAGGGGTATCAGTGAATGTTTAGGAAGGTCTGGGGGGGGGGTGCCGAAGGAACCCTTCGACCTCACATTATCGTAACGTGACATGCATGACGTCACACTTTTTCGTGCGTACAGCTATTGTTCATCGATTTATAAGAAGTTATCACGTCAAAAAAAACATTTCTATGATGTTGACTTGGAACGGAGTTTAATTGTATTCTCCCGTATTGCAGTGGGAGGTACCGATGCTCGGCGAGCCGGAGCTCGGTAGTGTGAAGCAAGGCGACATAATCCAACTGCAGCGGCGCGGCTTCTTCCGCGTCGACGTCTCGCCGGCGCCTATATCCGAGCATACGACGCGTGCTCGCCCGCTCGTTCTATTGCACGTGCCCGATGGATCTACTAGGGAAGCACCGGGGCAGGTGAGTCAGCCCATATTGATTCAATATTCTACCGTGAAGCAAGCACAGAGGTATAAGAATAGTAGGGAAGGCGGCTCTAAAAGTGTCCGTCTAGTAGAAAGAGAAAGAAGATGAGAGACCGCTAGCTATCTCTCTCTCTTCTGACGCATGCGCAGCCGTCTGTCTAATAATTGGTCAAGCATCACATCGAAATAGATGCTTACGGTCACCAATGCGCATGCGCGATTAGAGAGAGATAGCTAGCGGTCTCTCATCTTCTTTCTCTTTCTATTAGAGGGACACTTCCACCTGTAGTAGTCTATATCTCCCCTATTCTATTCTTATACCTATATGGAAGCAAGGCGACATAGTCCACCTATATCCGAACACAATACGCGTGCTTGCCCGCTCGTTCTATTTGCACGTTCCCGATCTACTAGAGAAGCGCCGGGGCAGGTGAGCCAGCCGATATTGATTCAAAGTTGTATCGTAAAGCAAGGTGATATAGTCCGCCTATATCCGAACACAAGACGCGTGCTCGCCAGCTCGTTCTATTGCACGTTCCCGATGGATCTACTAGGGAAGCGCCGGGGCAGGTGAGTCAGCCAATATTGATTCAAAGTTCTACCGTGAAGCAAGGCGACATATAATCCGCCTATATCCGAGCACACGACTCTTCGACGATGAATCATTTTAATATCTCCCTTATGAAAGTCGAAGGATTCTGAGCTCCAGCATAATTTTTGACAGCTTCATAATCGTAACGTTACTATGAAAACTAAGCAGCGCCCCTATCGGACCTAAAAACAAACAAACTTTTTCTATACAAAATTTGACGATGACGTTATGTTTATAGATATATACAAGGAAGTCTCCAAAATAGGGAAGTCAATTCGAAATTTATCATATTGATTACTTTTATTCTGAACGCATTCTCACATAGTTAATATCTGAACACATTAGTCGTGGGCGCCCGCTCGTTCTATTGCATGTTCTCGATGGACCTACTAGGGAAGCGCCTGGTCAGGTGAGTTATTGTTTTAAAGTTCTCGCTTATGAAAGGTGTAGAATTCTGAGCCTGTACAGCTAAATCTCCAACATAGTAGGGAAGTCAAAAGATTCATAGTTTATATAGTCTCGTCTTGAACTATTAGAGAAACACCTAATGTGAGTTAATCATCAAAATGGTTGTTTTAATATTCTCCCTTATGGAAGGTGAAGTAATGTCTACAACGTAAGATCACCACATCGCACCACATCTAGGAAAACAAAAGTATTAGAAGGCCATACAGCCTCGTTGAAGTATCTATCTACACTCGAATACTATCGATCTACACTCTCATAAGTCAGCTTGCAAGATAAACTTCTGTATCACTACAAATAAGTTATTACTTCTACTAGTCAAAAAAGGCATAGGATTCTAATTTTCATTATTGTATCGCAAACGTCTATAGGCTATGTTGGCCGCATACCATCAGGCGGACCATATGCTTGTCTACCACCCTTTTAACATTAATAATCTCTATTTGACTTTAAGCAATTGATAAAGGTGGAATGATGTGTTAAAAAGGATTACGTTACTTTCATTTAAGAATGATGATCCAAGTGGCCCTTAAAATACGACCTCATTCTCACAACATTACACCAAAAACTTTTTACTGTCACGCCATCTTGCGTGAGTTTATATTTCATGTCTTGTACTGGCAATAAATAATTAAGCATGATTTTATTTCTTTTATTTTAAGTTTACCTTTCCTTGCGTTTTTTTCATGTAGTAATACATCAAATATGAAAGACCTCTAGTATAGTTCTACTATATTCATCATACATCGCTTAAAACTATAATTGCTACATTGGGAAACAAAACTGCTGTCGAATTACTAACAAGGATTAAAGTACGAGATAAGCCCGGAAAACTCCAAAATAATATTCTCAAGCATATACATACACTGTTTTGCTGGTTTCGGTTATTTCTCTTTTCAATAAATAAATAAAGTTTCGTGCATTAACCCGTAAAAACTAGTTTTATTTAATGAGTGATGTGCGTGAAAACCTAAGAAACAAATATTTTTCTTGGCCCGGGATTACAATACCTCATCTATGAAGGCCTTAAGAAAAGGAGGTAAAGGTTTACACTAAAGATATGAAAGCTATCACCATATCATCGTTCTTGTTTAGTTTCTATATATAGATATGTAAAACGTCTTTTCATATTAATCTATTCTATTGTTATAATAAATTGTCTTTGATTTTCTTCGTTGGATGTGCAAAAATAAAATTACATATAAAAAAAGAAACTATTTACTTACAAACAAAACTTTTAGGACTTACTACAGATAGTCTTCAAACAAAAACAATAATATTATCACAAACACAAGAAGCACTTTCTGCCATAACAAACAAAATAAATATTTTTAAAGTTATGTAATCAACAATGTAAGTTATTATGTAAAAAACAAACGCAGAGAAGTGCTTTACATATTAAATTATTAACAGTCAACAAATTGAAAAAAACTTAACTAAACTAATCGAAGGCTCCTCGACTGTGCGAGCGTAAATTGAAATCTTCATGCAAAGATCTTTGCAAATATGCCTATGAAAATCTGAAATGAAAGGTAAATTATTTTTGTCACTTTCAACACTATATGATGCAAGGACAGACTATGTCAAGTTTACAAATAGCAAACACGAATATCCAAGCAAAATGCCGAACTTTTAATTCCTTAAAAAGCATGGTAAGGACAGACTGTTGTGAAGTTTACAAATATAAAATACAAGAAGCCATTAGCCAAGTGAAGTGCCGGCACGTGAATAATAAATTGTAAATATGTATAAGTCAAAGTGGAAAGGTATTTAATACGAAATCGAAGAAACTGAATTTGGTCCGGGAAATTTATGACTAAGGTGTTATTTATTTATTGTACTCACTCTTTGAAACGACGCAATAAACAGTCATCATTATATGATTCGAAAATAAATGGATCTGCGTACACGAATTCGATGGGCAGTCGATGTTGTGGGTCCAATACTAACATTTGAATCAGTAAATCGACCAACTTTCGAAGTTTTACCTTGGCTGTTATGTTCTCCATATAATTGCTAGTTTTGCCAAAGGCATTTTTATACGAATAAAATATGTTGGGACCAACACAGGATTTTCTGCTAAAGGTACTTATAAGAGTTACATCCTGAAACAAAAAAAAAATGCGTTGTCATAGTTATTTACAAACGAGTTAACGAATGTACCATAGTCACGAGTTAGCAGAAGAGTAGAGAGAAGGCCAATTCCGCACGAATGTTATATAACGTTTTTCAACACATTTCAACTCATTCAAACAACCTACGTAATTTAAGTAATCAAGCAACTAAACGACTACCCAAAAAAAAGAGTGTTATGTATTCAGGGTTCATGTATGTATGTTCAATTCTTTATTCCACCAAAACTTATAAACGCCTGAACCGAATTAGATATGTGTAGTATCGTTAGAATCCTTGCACCATCTCGGGTAACATAAGATACCTAAACTGGTAAAATTGAAATAACAGCAATGTCAAAATGTAAAAGATTTATGTCAATAAATGTAAGTAAAACGTATTATAATTATTTTATTATAGGTATCACTTGAAAGGTCTTAATGAGACCATATCAAATATAAAAAAATATAGTAGCATTAATCAAAACGTTTTACCTGTAAAACGAAATAAATACTAGAAAATTTATTACTCCAAGCCAGGCACATAAAAAAAACAAGTTGGAATGTTATAATAGCTTTTTAGGTAATTTTTTTAACGGCAGTCGTGTTTTTTTTCATTATTTATATTTTTAATCGATTTATTAAATTCAAGTGATGAAAACGCCAAAATGATTTTGTAAAATTTATAGTTTCTCTTGTTGACGACATTTAGATTTCAATATATTTAGTATAAGAAACACTGTTAACATACCTTTCCCATATATCCGCATTTCCTCATAAAATGTGTACCATGGAAATGATGATCCTTAAAAATAGAGGACTGAACTATTTCAAATGGAATATTTCCTAAAAGATTCATCTGTTTGTACAGTATATCATTATTGAACATGCCAGGGAACAGTTTTCGACCCGTGGCCATTTCGTACATTACCAATGCGGTCGACCAGACATCTATGCTAAACCCGTCTGAATATCCTAAAATCAATTCTGGGGCACGATAGCTAGGTGTACCAAGGTTTGGTAGAAGAACTACTTGGTCAACGGTTCGGGATTCATCAAAGCCGCAAAGTTTCAAACTTTTCATTGTATTATTGATTAAAACGTGCCCTGGTTTGATAGCTGAAATTAAAATATAGTTTCTTTACACCTTATAATAAAAAATCTTTAAGAAACCGAAAGTGTAGAGATAGTGATTAATTAAATAATTATAAGTGTAACGTACCAGAATGCACTATATTTTTATTCCGCAAAACCATGACAGCAGACACCAACTGTCTAGACAGCTCTTGAACCATATCAATGTGAAAACACTTTTTATTTTCGTGAAATATCTCTTTTAGAGTTTTGGGATAATATTCCATCAAGAAACACCAACGTCCATCCACGCCAAATCCGTTGATTAAATAAACAAAATGTTGATTAATTTTTGGGATATCCTTTTGCAAGTCTTTTAACATTATTTCCTTTTGTATCCCTAGCGTATACCGATCTTGTTCTTTGCTGTAAAGGTCACAACAAATATTATTGAAGACTATAATGTGCAATATTATTTATGTTTTTGGAACACCATAACTTTTAAATACATGAACTTTGGACGTATTAGGGTATTGCAAAAATTTATACAAAAAATTGAAAAATCTACAATATGGAAATCAAATCTAAGTCCTTGATAAGCACATTCCAATACACAATAATTTACAACATATTTGTGTATATCCACAAAACAAATATTTCATCTATGACTTAATAAAATTATAAACCACGACTGTCAAAAACGAACTAAAAAAGCTAAAACTTAGATTTTTTTGTTTGCCTCCCAAGTGGGGA